TCTCTTTATCTTTACAAGTACAACCTAATATCAAACCAATTACTTATCTCAAATCATGTATTCTGTCGGTTCTTTAACACATTGATGTCTCAATAAGAGCCAGAAGGATGTTGAGTGACTTGAGGCTGTGTTAAAGTATATGAGTTAATGCTCTTCTGGCCCCAAACAGACAATATGTACTTCACTTGTTGACAAGACAAAAGTATGCACTTTGTTAATTAGATCGCATATTTCAGCAGTACAGAATTAAAATCCTTTAAATATTGAAAATTTTACATGACTTTGAATGAAGCAGTTGTTAGATCGGTCTTTCATAATGACATACGTTCAAGTGTATAAAATAAAAGGTTTCTCTGAAATATAAGGAAAAAACATGATGAATAAAAATGAAACTAAAATAAATAGGAGTGAAAAATCATGAGATAGCTAAAATAATCATATGATACTACATGTATATGAAAACAAAACACACCTAATAATAATAATTTTAAGAGTATTGCTTAACATTGCATTGATTTTCACAAAAATTTGGCAGAGCAAAATAATATGCGTGTTTATACTGAATTATCAACTGCACAACTATTGACTACCGGTACTTCAAATTTTCTATAACTAATCCTAAACAGAGATATTTGAACAGGTTTGTTAGTATACCTTTAAACCTGTGTTAGTGGCCATCTCTATATGAAGGCCACCTGTCTATAGCGGTCACCCCTATTGCCTCCCTTTAGAAGGAAATGTGTGTTAAGGAACCTGTCTAGAATGACCACCTGTCTACAGTGGCCACTTCTTGTGTTTTGCTTTGGTGGCCTTTATAGACAGGTTTGACTGTACAGATGGAGTAGAGCATGCTCTTACAAGCATTGCAGTAGGGTACCAAAGCGCTGGCTTCATATTTGTGTGTCGTCCAGGTTACTGGTTCCAGACAATAGAGCCTGCACATGAGGTTCACCGCAAAAAATTCAGTGTGTCTGGGATAGGTGTGTTTACCACACCGTTGTTTTGCACAAAAGTAATTGGAACCAACAACCTTGACAATTTGGCTAGTATGACATCACACTTCAGTCCCTGGACCCTGTATGCCAGTGTTGACCCTTTCCATGTAATGGCTTACCATGCTTTTTGAAAAGGATGACAAATATTCTTTTACTTCATTGATAAACAATAACTCTTTCATTGCTTTGGTTGAATTTGAAAACATGCAATGGACTGCATCAGTCAACTATTGTCACACACAGTGTGTATGGAACATACTTCATCAAACCAAATGGCAGTCCATGGATTAAGTTACTAGCGAAGAAAGAGTTGGAACAGCAAGTCATTTGGCAGTGGTCTATACCTGCATTTGTTTTTAACATATCGTTGATAATGCCACAGACAAAACTAATTTGCACATTTAAAAAGAAAATTCTTTGCAAATAGTGTTTGTTGATAACATGAATATATACATGTATGTAGCAATATTTATGGTCCATTTTGACATTGTGCAATCAACACATTGTTTCGATGCCCTGGGCCAAAAAAAAAAAAGGAGACACCAGTTTGATGATCACTTTTTTTTTTTAAACACGCAAACTCTTATCCAGTTAAACTTGTACAGCTTCAGTTGAAGAATTTTTTTCTGCAGAGTTATATTAAATTCTTTTGAATATTTCTATAACAACATTTTTATTTTTAAGTTTTCCACATCTTACAAAAAAGCTTCAATACCATGGGGATGCTAATTTACTATTTTCACACCAGAGTTTCATAGTTTGCTATCACATTCTTTAACTGTCGAAACTAAGTTCAAATTTTTGTTTCCTACTACACATCTTTGCACCAAACAGCGAAGCGCATATTTCAGCAATAAAAAGTACATAAAATTGAAGGCCAGTCAAAGTGCACTTGCATTTTTTCATTATTATATCTTAAAATACCATTTCCTTATAAATCAATCACAAAAAACAATCAAAAAATGAAGTTTGGATCACATTCAGTGCCCATTATCACCATACCATGATACTTGTTCAAGCATCAGTCTCATAGGTATTATCTACAGCTAAAGCAGAAAAGTTTCATGACATTAAAACTTGCTGGTTTCACAGCAGTAGAGTCTGTGACTCCAACACACACTCTGAAATTAGAGCACCTTAAACCATCATGTATAAAGCTCTGGAAGGATGCTTCTTATATGCATTTTTCCCTTTACTTTTAAAACGGCCAACAAGGGTGGGGACTTCCCCCATCAAAGAAAGGCAAAGTAACCCCCCATTCAGATTGCCAGGATTCATTGTATAGCTATACAATTTTGTTTTAGTCCGATCGTCGTATATAAAGAAACGTCATAAATCAAAACGCACGTTTGAGCGGTTTTTTTTAATGAAAACTTGATAAAGAATCAGCGTTCTGCTCAAGGTTAACATTGTCTCATAGGAAAAAAATGGGCAGGGCTTATCACGACCGCGCACAGATGATCGGTCAGCTGTTGGGTCAATTGACATCTTCAAAATTAGTTTCTCTATATGACGTTTCTTTGAACGATGTTGCTTTCTAGTCTACTCCTTTCGCTTTACAATGATTTATACATTTCTTAAGATGAGTTTCACATAAATTTCCTGTAGTCTGAACAAGCCTCTCCTATTTCTGGTTGTGTAAATGGGGTTCCACAGTCCCCTCAATTAACATGAAACTCTGCATTCACATTCATTCTTCTCCAACAAATAAAAAAATACCAGTCCCCTTCAGGTGTTAATAAATTTTGAACATGCTGGTATATCTCCAGGTGTGTTGCCCAAAGTTTCTGACACATCAGCAGTCATTATATGCAACACACACTGTAACAATGAAGTACTCTCGCTCTGGTCTAGAGCTAGACAAGATTATGCATATTACTAGAACCAGTTTGGCAATGTTTGACACCTCTATTTCAAGCATATTGCAAGGGGTAAATACTGGCATTCACTCTCCGGCAGCTTAATAAAGAAAATCAAATGGATGTCTGATGGTTTCTTCCTCTGAGAGCACCATCAATATAAATTGCGTTTTCTGTTCAAATCTCAATGGCAAAGCCGACATTGTCAACCATAACCCGACATGCATGAAGTCTGGGGAGCTGTATGTCGGTGCACCTGACATTGACAAAAATGTTTATCAAATTCTCTTCCTGCTTGATCTCACAATAGTTCTTATCGAGGGTTCAGTGACACAAAGACGTAACTCCTTTTTTTTTGCCAAACTGAGTATTTGATATCAAAATGTTCACAAAAATGTGGGCTTTCCAGGAAACACAAAGACTTAACTCCACCCAACATCCCATTGAAGTCAATGGCTAGTGAAACATAGACTTAACTCCTTAGTCCAAGTGCTCAGTGACACATAAACCATTTTTTTCTCAAAATGGAGTTACGTCTTGTGTCACTGACCCCTCGTTATATTGTAGAGAGTAAGTGTGCTATAAATCTCATCAAAATGCAAGCAAGAAAAATGTCATTTTCCACCAAACAAAAAAGGTTATCGTGTCACCATGACAATATAAACACAAAAGTTTCCCATGTCCGCACACTCACTTATTTTACATACGGTTTGGGATTTTGTTGTGAAAGATGCATGTTATCTGATCTATGGCTTCTTCAATTGACTGGGTGGCAACTCACGATCTCTCACAAAGATGGCAAGTGAATATGTCAGTATGCATTAGCTTGAAACAAGAAAACTATTCGTACCAGCTCAATCGCATTCTTCAAATCGTTCCTGCAAAGATAATCTTATGGTTTGCTATTACAAAACAATTTTCACTCTCTTCAAGTTTCTACCAATCCCATAATGCATGTACACTGCAATACATGATTCTCATTCCAGCTACACAGGTAACGTTTACAGCAGAATTTCTGCTTTAACATCGACCACTGAAAGTTATATGCAGTATCCAGTAGGCTACAAGCCTGCACTTATTCCGCTGTAGTACATGCAATCATTTTTTTCATCTGAGTTCACAATCCTGACAAAAATTATGCCACGGGCAGCATTTTTATAAACACAAGCTCTTGTTACCATCCATGCTTTCTCGTTGGTGAATTTTACAAATCAATCAATCAATTAAAAACTTTTGTTTAAAGTTGCGAAAAAAAGTTTAAAAAGAACTCCATTTTAAGTACAATTTAATCACATAACCATTCAATTTTTTTTTCACCAAGCAAACATGATAGTTAAAATGTTATTGCCATTAACTCAACATTCAAAATGTGATTTCAGTTGTACCTTTTAGCTATTCAAAAAAGTTATCATCTCACAGTGTCGGAAAGAAAAGTGAAAAATAATATGAAGAGGAAGACAAAAGACTTAATTACTTGATTTCTGGTAAAATATAGGAAATAAATTCTCACAGAATCCAACAAAACTTACACTGAATGTTCAAGAATACAAATAAATGACATGTGCCAACAATTTTGGTAGAAAATGTAGTGGATGAGTAACGAGCATTGATAGATAAGGAAATCCGGGTAAGTAGGCCAGACACCATGTGCTTATTAAACACAGGCCACTATGTGCAAGTGAGAGTTGTGGTTTTTATTGAAAATGATTTTCAGCAAGTGTTTGTGAGGTTGTTTTTATCTTACTATTTCAAACAATCAATCTACTGCAGGATATAAAATCCAGAATGAATTATAGCCACGTTCTCTTGACATACGATGCCCATTAAGGTATTAAGCAAACGCGTTTAATTACAGAACTGATGATCATTCCTCCCTAGCATTTCGTTTATTGCACAATGCCATCTCAGGGTCAAGTTGCCACTTCGCAGACAGAGGACTCAAAGCGAGAACCAGCGGCCAAAAAATGCCAAGCAACACATTTGCAACAAATTGAAGAAGAAAATGTATTGGCTAGCAACAGTACACTGTAAATAAACTGAAATGTACAACTGCCAATAAATGTTTGAAATGGATTGCATTTTGCCACTTAATGTACTAGATAGTAAGTTAGATCAGATAATAACATAGGAAGTTTGGTCTCTTCCCTCCCCCCCCCCCCTCAATTTCCTTTACTGATTCTCCACTTCTATTTTGATTACAATTTGATGAAAAGCTTTACTGTAGTATTCAATTTTTGTGTTTATTGCAAGAAAATATATCAATGCTTATTTTTGTATTTTACAAAGCATTTTCTGCTTGAATTTTCACTTAGGATGCAAAGTATTATCATTTAATCTCAATCAAATTTGACTACCCAGCTGTACTTGCTTTTCAATAGGAGTTTCAAAATAAATTGGTATGTAATTTGCTGAAAACTTATTATTCCCTGTCCCCAAGTCTCCATAAACTGATACCGCTAATTCCAAGAAAAAGAAAGAAGATTTAATAAATAAAACCCTGTTAAATAATGGAGCAATAAACTGCAATATTTATTTATATTTTCGGGATGACGTAAAGTGTAATACGCGTCACATTTCCTATCTAATGACACAGAGCTATAAAGTGAATACGTGTAGGACCTTTGTTGCTCACAGTTACCATTCATTTACACGTCATAAAAACCAAGGCATCTCATTTTTCTTCTTCTAATGATGCTGCTTAAGATGCTGCTTAACCCTGTGAATTCTGGTTTGCAAAAGTTTAATTAGGCAAATTCAAAGCTCTTCAGCTAAAAAATGACTGGCATGAGTGAGCAATATTACTTTTCATGATTTTTAAAATCTCCCAATTTTTTTTTTCCTCACACAATATGCATCCAATTAAGTACTTTCATGTGGTTGTTGATGGGGGTGAATATGATCATTGCCAAACCTACAACCTTTTCACCAAAAAGATTATTAGGGGTTAGAGAAATTCTGATCATTCACTCCTTCAAAATTTTAAATAATCAACATTCAATATTCAACTCTTAAACTTCTAGAATTGAGAAGTGCTTGTGTAATACCAATCAAAAGAATGCATAATACTATATGATAATATCTTCTCTCAGATAAAAAATACTTCTCATATAAAATACACCAATGAAGTGCCTGCTCTCTCATCAACAAGATTAAAATGTGAGATATCGCCATTGCGTGCTTAGGACTGTTTGGTTGGGTCATCGGGCTCAATCGCAGAATAAAGTCAGTCGCTGACAGCAAAGGGGAAAGGGAGAGGCAGGTTTACATCAAATGCTGACGTCATGACATCTTGTTGCCCAGTTTCCTCTGCCTAGTCCTGTAAAAAAAGAAAATGAAATTGGCAACTATGTTTAAAGGAGTGGCATTTTGGCATCGTCTTTGATCTACAATGCCATGAGTTGCGATTAATACAAGAGCAAAGATCAATGACAAATTTAGTTAATCAATTTATCTTGTAGCACGATTGGGCCATTCATGAATAAAAACATTTTCTGAATGGATTTCTCCAAGCGCTCATGTTTGCCAATGCTGGTATATTACTTTCAATTAATAAATGTGCTTACTGCTTGTGTATTTTAAAAATTTGTAACTATTGGGCAAGATTAAGAATTGCAGATAATGAATTATTAGTATATATCTTAGTATAGCAGAATAAGTGTTTTAGAATCACTAAAAGTTAGTGTGTCTGCAAAAAAGAAAGGAAAAAAAAAAGAAAAAGAAGAAAAAAAAAAAAAAAAAAAAAAAAAAAATCGCTGAGGTAACGGAGGTGCGATGCATGATGGGAATGTATATTGCTATATGCAGTAGTGAGAATTCAGACTGGTATCCCTGTTAGTTACTAACTACTAGTGAATAGCAATGATGGGCCAAGGGTGAGATGTGTTACCTGGCTTCTGTCCTGGCAGTGGTGTATTCAAACCAGAGCACGTTGGGAATGAGGGTAGAGTCTCGGATCAGGAAATATTCACAGATAGGCCAGGACACCAGGTACGGAAACAACGGTGTTAACACCACCTGCAACATAAATGTAAAACAAAATGAATTCAGAGCGTTTATTCATACTGTAGGATGTTGGGAATGAGGGTAGAGTATCGGATCAGTAAATATTCACTTTTCACAGATAGGCCAGGACACCAGGTACGGAAACAACGGTATTAACACCACCTGTAAAACAAATGTAAAACAAAATGAAACTCAAGGGGTGTATTCATACTAGAGAACATTAGAAATGCGACAGGGCCCTGGACCCAACATCTTAAAAAAAACCTACCCTAAACCTCAATTGCAACCCTAACCTTGACCATATACCTTTAACAAAATAAAATCACATCACCCGAACAAATTTGTTTTTGATTGATTAGCCATGTGTGTAGCATATATGCATATATGAGTATTACACATGTCAAGAGGGCACAACTATAGAGTGGTGAAGTGTGACGTCATCAAAAAACTATTTTGAGAATTTCTCAATTTTAACTTCATCTTTCGAAAGAGCATAAAAAATAATGTCCAAATGTCGAAAATCAAATGAATATGTTGAGTATTGGCTGAGATATGACCATCTGAATAAATAGATTTCCTATTGGAGCTCAGTGTTATTTTGCTCCGGTTCATAACATTACGAACCAGAGCAAATAACACTGAGTTCATATAGGAAATCTATTTATTCAGATGGTCATATCTCAGCCAATACTTAACAGATTCAATTGGTTTGTCAACATTTGGACATTACTTTTGATGCTCTTTCGGAAAATGAAGTACAAATTGAGAAATTCTAAAAATAGATTGTTATAATGTCACAGCTTCGGTACTCTATTTCAGTGTCCCTTTAAGAGAAGATTGGTCAAGTGTATATACACACCTGTGTGATAATAAACCAAGGCACAGCCAATAGGATTCCTAGTAGTCCTCCACAAACAACCTGTCTCACTGTGTGATACTTCAGGTACACTCTGTGCAAGAGAAATATAAAATAAAGAAACGCAACATTTAAAATAATAACATAACGTTATACAGTGAAACCTGTCCATAAAGACCACCCAAGAGACAAGAAAAATGGTCTTCATAGGTAGGTGGTCTTTATGTACAGGTTTCTTTAGTACATGTTTCAATGAGAAACTATTTTCAAGGGAAACAAAAAATGTGGTCTTTGTAGACAGGTGGCCTTTCTATACAGGTGGTAAATTAAAGAAGGTTTGACTGTAACATACTTATTTGTGTCATCTATTGAGTGAATAGGCTCATTGGATAAACTATCTTTACTATCATTCTCACTTTCAGTATCATCTTATTTATAGAACTTGTCCACAACTCCAAATTTTGTAATTTTTTAAAAATGTGCTTGGTATATAAAGAATGACCGAGAATCAGGCCGAGATGGTCACTGTACCAGGTAATATAATTATTTACAAAGCCTTTTTACATTTTTATAAATACATGTATATCACTATCAATAATATTTGAGGAAAGAAACTACGTGATAAATGGTTACAAACTTACTTATTATAATAATTAAGTTACTTGGGTTTATTGTGTTTCTTCATGGTTGCTACACAAGCTACCAATATGAGAGATATTGTAAGACTATCACTGATGATAATAATGATTTTATAGATTTGTCTTAAACTGGAATACTACAAAGAGATTCATCTACTGTTCTTCAAATTACTAGAAATGACACAGGTGCAAGAGAGATGTGACAAATACAATCCATTAAACATACACAAGGCAAAGCTGAAGGTCTGTTCTTTCTAGATGATATATAATTGATCGTGGAGGTTTGTAGAATATCATGATTACAGATGAAACTTTAGATTTGATTGATGCATCAACAAGGCTTTGTGAATTATAATTGGAGGAAGGAGTCAGGGCCACTTGCATACAGATTTTGTTTACCGGTACTATTTTTTGTAACCTTGGACAAGCTAACCAACCTCACCTTAATTTGAACAATGCACACAGTACATACATGTGTCATATCAACGTACCGTATAACATTTTATCACTGTCTACAAAGAAAAATATACAGCATGGGCAACGTGTTCAATTATCACAAACCTCAATCACAGTGTGGCACATGTATACATTTACAAAAAAACTATAAAAAACCTTAATATTCACTGGTAAATACATTACCAGACAGACTCACAGAGTGGAAAGGAAGTATGTGTTTTGCTTGAAATGTAATAGATACATTAATTGACAGGAAGCAAGTGATATTTTTTCACCTATCCTAACAGGAAGAAAGTGACATAAGGATCTGAGAGGTGAAGTTAAGATGGGTATAACAATGACTGACTGGCAGACAGTTTTAAGCTTATGAATTCACATGGATTCTTTATTCTTTAGAGGCTGTCAGGCAAGAACAAGTCATACAAACTCATACATAATTTGTGTTTATCAAAATTCAATATAATTTATTATTTTGTTTATGCATGGAAGCCCCATTACCCTCAATGGTGTTCTTCCGGACAGCCCTGCAATTATTATTATCACCCCAGCAACTGCCAGATACCTATTTACACCTGGGTGAAGAGGGGCAAATGTGGATTAATAATGTCTTGCCAAAGGACAATTTTCTTCCACTGTTAACAAGACATTTCACACAATATTTCATTCAGCTATTGCAGACAATAGATTTTCTACTGGTGACGGCTACTGGGCTTATATTTGGCTGTGGATAGGTTACAAGACACTTCAAAGAGCTCTTAAGGTTTTCAGGAGGAATTTTTATATTTTATATGCATCTACAGTATATGTTAAAATTCCGGGCTGATCACAAATTTACTCATCATACAAAGATCAATTTAAATACAGATGATGATCTGGTAGCAGACTACATGGGATATGCATTTGTTTCTTTTTGTTTTGTTTTGTTTTGTTTTGTTTTGTTTTGTTTTGTTTTGTTTTGTGTTGGTTTTGGTTTGCTATGTTTCACAAAAGTGGAAGAAAAAAATGGAGAAAAGAAACAACAAAATCAATCAAATTCATACAAGGTACATGCACTCTATATAATTAAACAAAGACCATCAAAGCGATAGTTTTAGAACATGATCTCATTAAATGCACATGGCAGGCATCTTCCACTTCCACATTCTGTAGAGTTCTAGATAATAACTCACCTGCTACCTGACACTAGTAATGCAACAAGTATAACGCCAATGGCTGCCAGATGCCTCCACACCTGCTCAATAAATAGATTACTGTTGGGCTGATGCAGTCTGCAAATGAAGAAGTATAGCAAATTATGCAACATCAATATAAATTTTAAATTTAAGATGATCCCCAGGCATTGATTGGTGCTAAATATCATACTGTTAATGTTATATCATTTTGTCAACCCTGTGATGTTTTCTATGTATTGTTATCATCATGCCTGGAAATAAAATAAAAATAAATACAAAATATTTCTCTTATGTCTGTAAATATTGATTAGGCAAATGAAGTCTCTAATGAATTAGATTGTTTAAATGCACACAAAAATTGGTATATGGGACTACATGCAAATGTTTGGATCAAATTTGTCAGCATTCTCCTATCATGTTTTGAATAATGGGGTATTTTATGACATCTACCATATTATTCCAAACTGATGTGCTAAGAAAAAGCAAATTATTTGTCATCTATATTTGAGCTCAACTTTCTCTTTTATCAAATACCAAGGGCAAATTAAGCTTTAGTTTATTGTCACAACTACAAGAAGGCAATAATAATTCACACAAATCATCTCTCCTTCATGGTTTTGCCTGATTTTTTTTCTTTAGATTCCATCAAATGAGCAGCAACATTAACTTTGAAATACACATGCAGAGCAAAATCTACAGAATGATGTTAGATTTTTACTGAGTTAAAATACATATGATCTTAACATTTTACACAAATATCAACTCTTTAAGGTTGAACATTTATGCAAATGTCATTCAGAACAGTGATGCTTGTAAATGCTCGAAAATATTTTCAAAACAGTAAAAATACATGTATATGCCTTCCACCTCGAGACTGAGCAGCCTTTTCGGTCTCATATAAAATAAAAACAAGGGAAACGCTCTCGGCGGTCTCGCCTGCATAACGCAATTCAATATGATAAACCAGAACGTCAATGACGTAGCGCTCATCCGCATCTCACAACAACAAATATCGTAAATTTTATGTGGTACACTTTTGAACTGGTCAAAAAATAGAAATTTGATGCCCTGGAAGAGACATAATTTCATTTCATTTGCATAAAGTACCATAAATAATCAATGGAGCAAAATCTCACAATTCTGTGTAGAAGTTTATTGTTCCAAATTTAGCTCTACCAGATAAGGCAAAATCGGTCAAGAAATGAGGGACAAGAAGCAATTTTTGTTATTTTTGGAATAAATTTGCATAAATTACCATAATTAATTAATGGAGAACAATTTCAAAATTCTGTGTAGAAGTTTAGTGTACCAAAGTTAGCTCTACGATATAAAGCAAACCAAATCAAAATCGGTCGAGAAATGAAGGAGAAGAAGCCTTTTTTTGTGATTTCGAATAAATTTGCATAAATTAGCATAGATAATGAATTTCACGATTCTGTGTAGAAATTTTAAATCCCCTCCTAGCCCTATCATATGAAACAATCAGAATCAAAATCGGTTGAAAAATAACGAAGAAGAAGCATTTTGAAAATCTTAATGTTGATGCCACAACAAAGTCTAAGTTTGGTGACCTTAAATGGCCTTTGACCTTAACTTAGTGACATGAAATTCTACTCACATGATTGGGGAGACTTGATAACCCTATAGTCCAAGTTTCATTGACTAAGAACTTATACTTTCAAAATTATATCAAAAATTCAAAAACTTAACCTTAGGTTAAGTTTTCGAAGATAATGCTACAACATAGTCCAAGTCTGTTGACCTGAAATGACCTTTGACCTTGACTTTGTGATCTGAAATTCTACTCACATGATTGGGGATACTTGATTACCCTATAGTCAAAGTTTCATTGACTAAGAACTTATACTTTAAAAATTATACCAAAAATTCAAAAACTTAACCTTAGGTTAAGTTTTTGATGTTGACGCCGTCGCCGTCGCCGTCGCCGTCGCCGCCGCCGTCACCGGAAAAGCGGCGCCTATGTCTCGCTTTTTGCTACGCAGGCGAGACAAAAACCTTGCAATCTACGTAAGTATGTACATGTACATTCATCTAAGAAAGCTTTAAATTATTAAACATGTAAAGCCCTTTTAAGGCCCCCCCCCATAAAAGGTATTAGATTGTCTTACCTTATATAAATAAATAGCACAGTGTAAGTAGCAAAAAACCACATGAGTTGAGAGTGACTAGATGGCATTCCATACTCAGTCCGTAGACCTCCATGTAATGTATCATTACCTGAAATCAAAACATACACTATAGATTAAGATAATGCAACTCTTACAATCTCTGTTGTACATTTATATACAGTAACAATGTTCATTCAATATTTTGTTCTTCTCAAACCTTTGAAAACAGCTTATAGCTGACAAGGGCAATCCATTCCATGAGTGGAGAATAAAAAAAATAACCATTCCTACATAATACAATACTATACATATTTATGATCCAAAATACCATAAAAATATGAAAATCATTATGGCAAATCAATTTCTACAGAAATGTATGTTTTAAGCAGAGTTAATTTCAGTTTCCAGAGCAAATTAATTCATAGCTCAAATGGATCCTATTTGCAACCTGACTAGTCCAGAAGCCGTCTATTTTTTAATATATTTTAGTCTTCAGCGATCTTTGTAATCCTCCCTTTAATATGCACATCCCACACAGAGCACGTCGTCTCTGCTAATCTCGGAAGAGGTGATTTGTCAAAACTGTAAAATCTATTCAGACACTGCTGGTCGCATGTGAATTAAAAATATGTAATCATTATTCATTTATACACCAGGGGTACATTCTATGAAACTCAGGTGGAAATACCGTAATTAACGTTGTATTAACTGCACTTTTTTGCCCCCGAAAAAAAATTCAAAGTCGGGGTGCGTCATATACACGTTACAAGTTTTTTAATTTTTTTTTTTAAAGTTTCGATTTATGCCCCGATTGCCCCTCCACCTGGCGTTATGCCTGGCAATGACTCCCAGCTCAGTAATCGGTGTGTTGACTCACCACTCGGAAACTAGAACAACACTCAAATGAGTCGGTCATCTTGGTTTGAAAGTAATCTTTCTGATAGATCTCAATATGTAGTTTATAATAATAATTCCTCCAATTTTTCTTCTATTACACATGGCGTATCACAAGGTTCTATCCTAGATCCTCTACTGTTTTTTAATTTACATTAATGATCTTACACATTCAACTGCACCCCACAGTTAAATTAAAGGCCCCACTGCGTGGGATTTTTTAACCGGACCTGGCTTGCTGGCCAAAAAAAAAAAAAAAAAAAAAAAAAAGGGCAAAAAAGAGGGGTGCGGTTAAAGTTACTATGTCCCATTTGCAGGCCAAAAAAAATGAAAAGGTTAAATTCCAACGGCATTTGAAAGATAATACTAATTTAGAACTTCCCCAAAAAAGGTGGGGCTTAAAAATGTCTTCAAGTGGGAAAATAATGATTATTAGTTGTCAAATCGACTGAGGAGCTATAGAGCCAATAAGTAATAGTCTTGATTTTCAGACCAATGTACCAAATGGTCATACGTTTTATGCTGCGCAAAGATTAAATCAGTTTAATTTTGGCCATCACAAGAAGTGGGTTATTGATGTAGACAAATGCTCATGTACCCTTTACGGCTCATGTTATGTATGTTATTACCAAAGAAGAAAAAAAGCCAGTCACTCACTCACTCAATAGTGTCTGACAGTGAAGTCTAGCAAGTAAACAGGTTTCCTTGCATAATTTGAATATTAGGACACTACTAATGTTTAAATTTCACAGATAGGACATACATGACATATTCATAATTTCTGCAAAGTTCTACAGAATTTGAGGTTGGCTGCAAAGGGTATATAGTACCTTTAATACACAAGGGCGGTATATACAACGTTAATTACGGTATTCTTTTCAAGAGATGCAAGTTACAAAAGGTATTCATGAAGGACCTCTATCACTTTGCGAGTGATTATTCTAATATCATTTGTACAAGTGCTATCTCCAAAGTGGCTTATTACGCTCATATCATTGAAAAAAGAAGATCAGTGATTTATCACATCACACGTGAACATGCCTAAAGATGTTTAAAACTACAGATAACCATAGATTACAATACAACATAATAATGGCCTGATATACGATCATTCATATCTGTGCTATACTGTACCTCTACATGGTCTCGGTTCTTGAATGGTGTTTTTTGCAATCCAATTAACTCCTTCACTCAATACTATACCACCAAAGAATGTGATCTACAGGAGAAAAGTAAAACAAAAATGATAGAATGTACCAAAGATCCAAAAAGATAGAAAATTATGTACTCCATTTAATTTTATCATGCTTCCCAAGCAAAACAACAAAGCAAGGAAATGTAGAAGATGCATTGAATTTCTTGGTTATCTACATGTATGTTATCAAATATGCAAAATCAAACTGTCAACAACAAAAAACAAAAAAAAAATCGGGGAGGGGGGGGGGGGGGGTGGTCGTCTCATGTACATGTGCAAAGCCTATGGGGTGCACACTCCACAGTTGTCTGATCGGGGAGATGATCTGACAGTCTATTGTTTCAGCTCACAGCAATTGGAGTTTATTTATACCTACTGTGATAGGAACATCATTGTATGACATCACAGTGTTGCCAATTTAATCATGACATCTGCAAAGATCATCAAAATGAATGGATGGATGAACACCATGAAGTTATAGCGAACAATGCTAAGCAATGAACTAAATGTATTTCAAGTTCTCAAGAAATAGCTTCTCTTAATCATAACAAGGGAAACGCTCTCGGCGGTCTCGCCTGCATGACGCAATTCGACATGATGAAAAATTGTGGTTGGGACATTATTTATAGGCAGGATGGCCCATTAGCAGGCCCCCAAAATTGAAATCCTCTACATAATCAGCATTTTGAAGTAAATATTTACAAAGAATCATCCAGAAAAATATTTTCTATTTTGTTTACCAAGATTGATAACTTTCATGAAATATGACCAAATAACAAAAATTGATTTATTAAATCTCATATCAAGTTGTGTAAAAACAAAATCCAAGTCTACTGACCTAAAATGACCTTAGACTTTGACTTTGTGATCTGGAATTTGTGTCATGTGATTTATGATACTTGGTAACCCTTGGGTACAAGTTTCATGGAATTTGAACAATCAATTTTGAAAATATGCTAAAAATTCAAAATATTGATGTTGATGCCACAACATAGTCCAAGTCTGTTGACCTGAAATGACCTTTGACCTTGACTTTGTGACCTGAAATTCTACTCACATGATTGGAGATACTTGATAACCCTATAGTCCAAGTTTCATTGACTAAGAACTTAAACTTTCAAAATTATATCAAAAATTCAAAAACTTAACTTTAGGTGAAGTTTTCGATGATGATGCCACAACATAGTCCAAGTCTGTTGACCTGAAATGACCTTTGACCTTGACTTTGTGACCTGAAATTCTACTCACATGATTGGGGATACTTGATAACCCTATAATCCAAGACCTTTTGCTTTCAAAATTATATCAAAAATTCAAGGTTAGGTTAAGTTTTTGATGTTGACACCGCAGCCGCCGCAGCCGCCGCCGCCGCCACCGTCACCGGAAAAGCGGCGCCTATGTCTCGCTTTTTTGATACGCAGGCGAGACAAAAATTGAAAATGTCCATTGTATCTTACCGTATGAAGCTCTCTCCTGAAAAGAAGTAGAGTCACAAAGCCAACGAGAATGACAAGAGGAACAAGGCTCACGTAGGCAAGGAACTTCCCAATGATATCATCTGTAACAAACAAGCAATCAGAAATAAACAAATTAAATCATGAATTAACTACACAAGATTACCATCTCTTCTTACTTTCATTATGTGGACAGAATGACATTCAATTAATCAACCAACTTTGTTACATCTCTGCAACTCTCTGTACTTCAAATAGAAGGGTGTTGATTCTAGTAAAGTGTAGGAATTAATACCCATCTGGCTCAAGCAGCACAAACACATTTTTCCTCCAATGCCCCTTTTTTTCACAAAAACTTGTTATCAGTGACAAATGACAGTTTTTGTTATAAGCTACTAAAATACTTGCTTCTGATTGGTTATAAGCAGATTTGTCACTGTTTTTTTGTCATTTGTCATTGAAAGAAGGCTTTGTGAAACGAGTCCCAGATCAATACCTGACATGCTAGATCAACAAAACAGGCCCACATCTGTATATGTTTACCGGCACATCAAGGATTTATGATGTGAAAGCACAATTCATTTTAAAAGAAATTGAATAAGCATGTTCAATTTGATATTTTTTACTACACCTTATAAGGTTCACAGAATTTATCTTGAACTTGTTTAGAGAGGAAAAGACGAGGGGGGGGGGGGATCACAGCTGAGCTAACAATCGAATCTTTAAAAAAAAAATTGTGCCCCTGAATTAGCCAAGAATGGAAGGTAATACATATCTTGTTTTAAAAACACTGTACAATATAGTTTTTGTACATCAGCGTGGTCCACAAGGGGCTCAAAAAAATGTAAAAAACATAAAGTTTGAATTTCAACCAAAATTAATTTGAAAATTCTAGTCATAAAATTGTTTTAAAATATTTCAAAGTATAGCTTAGATTGCACCAGAGAGCATTTGAGAATTCCTGAGCTTCCACCCCCCCCCCCCCTCCACAATGGGGCCCCTGGCTGCAAGGGATGTTATGCTTCACAAACTTCAGTTCATACTCCTTCCAAGTTGTAATTTTACATGTTTGAATATTTGTTTGTGAACCACCCTGGTAGATCACACGTACAGTATGTACTTGTTGCAGGGGTGGTAGTGAGCACTAAAAAAAAATGGCATCTAACAACATTTCCCCCCTTTTGAAAATAGGGGGAAAATAGGGGTAAAATAGGGGTAAAATAGGGGCAGGGGGGGGGGGGGGGAGAAAGATTAAGATCGGGTAATTATCAGACCTGTTGTTGACAAACTCAATCAAACGTTCTACATGAACTCTTGGCAACACATTACTATTTTCTCTATAGTATAACAACTCTAATTTCAATTTGTATTTTCAGAGAGCAGAAATAATCATGTCACACATGCACTTTAACATTGCATACACAATGCCATGGTGAGCATGTCAATTAGAAATCGTTACAATAAACGGCTGGCATTCAACGCTACATAGTGTAAACGAACGTGAAATTATCCATTTAATTCACATCAAATAAGATCAGACAATTCATGCACACAAATTTGTATACATCTCAAAACTACATGTAGGTGTACAGTACATTGCAACTATGCATTAATTTTGACTGCTGCCAACGATCCGCTATGAACAACACGTACGCTGCCACAGCGTACGGGTACATTATGTATGGATAATGCAGCCTGGAGACAATGTAATTAGCTCTGCTCCAAAGAGTTCTAGGGGAGCCTGCTTCTGCCATAATGATAATTAAATCGAAGATGCTTTCATCTCGCTCTTAAAGCATGTAACACGCGGGTGGGCCTTAACGACAGACATAGAGATACATGGACGTGGATGATGAAGATATGAGAGAGTTGAGGACAGAAAATTATGGGAAAGTATAGGATGAGATAGATAGATAGATAGAGAGACACAGGGAGAGGGAGAGGAAGAAAGAGAAAAAATAAATATGGAGCAAGAGGAAAGAGGGAGGGATAGACATGGAGATGGAGAGAGGACACAAGTAAAAGTGAGAGAGAGAGAGAGAGAGAGAGAAGGGGTGGAGAGGGGAGAGAAGGGGAGAGAGAAAGAGAGAGAGAGAAAAAAAGAGAGGGACAAAGAGAGAGAGAGAGAGAGAGAAGGGGAGGGAAGAGAGAGAGGGAAGAGAGAGAGAGCGGGAGAGAGAAAGGGGAGATATACATGTAGCAATCAAACACACGGTCTTGGTAGTCATTTGTAAAACTGTTAATAATGTTGAGAGAGGGAGATAGAGGGGGATGGGGGGGGGGGGGGAGGGAGGTGTTAAAATAATAACATATCAAGAACAGAGATATTACGAGATAGAAAGTTACAAATGATACAGGAATACACGTAGGTAGAGGCGGAGGCAGAGAGAAAGAGAGGAGGTCTGAATTATTAGAGGAATGCAACACAATAGTGATGTTGCTAGTACATGTACATGTACACAAGGAAGGGTTGAAGGCAAATAATGGAATAACTGTACAAAATAATGATCTTAATTTCAAATTTAAAAAAGATGTCTTTTTTTTGGTGAAAAACAGTTTTCTGTGTTAAAAAGCTTGCTTTCTCACACCCACGCACTCACTCATTCATTACATCCTGGCTAGATGTTAATTTCATTCATACAGGACAAACAATGGATGAGTGGAATCATTTACACAGTAATTAGCATTCTACAAAAGTGTCTGCATAAGCCATAATACCGGTATGTAGATTGTGATAATTGAAGTTTGCTCCATTTTATCAAAAGTATCTAAAGGGTTCAGGTCAGGGTTGAAATTTAGTTATAGGTTAGGATTAGGGCTGTTGAGTTTGGTCTAGAATTGAATATAAGAATAGGTTGGTGTGGGAAATAATCCAAACTGTACGGTTCAACATGGCAGCACAAAGACTCCATTTTATGTAGATCCATGACTACCAGTAAATACAGGGTGTACATGTATATACACCAGTACATGCACATGTATGCTATTTAGCTTGTGCAATACAAACTACAAATTACCTCTCTGCTATCATCAAGGTCAAGGGTCACAGAATAAGCCAGGGTTATATTTCAATGACTAATTGAATTGTTTTACAATACACTAGAAGCAATAATTACTGTGGTATTCTACTATCCTGACTGTATAGGGAGAGTGTTCATAACCTGAAATAAGACCATAATCTTCTTTGCAGCTGTTTTTACAGTGCTGAGTGCAGCTAGCAATCAACGCTCTGAACGCTCAAAGAATAGCTGGGCCGATAGAATGGCAACTGAAGACAAGATGCCTTTCACATGCATTGCACAGTTTCTATCTCACACGTGTATAATTCTTTCATAAATGTACTGTAGGGTTGAATTTTTTAGACATACATGAACAAGTACACAGTGCATCATGAACAATGTATGAATTGAGCATCAAATGAATTTGTGTTACAGATTTATCAGACTTTTGTGAAGAAATTCAGATATTCACTCCATTCAAGTTATTTGAAATTAATAAAATTAATAATGTATAGATACCTCCATTCCCATCATGCCAGATATATCTTTTTTAAATGCATGACATGCCTAAATGTACATGTACAGTACATGTACCATAGAGGTTTGTGACTGAAAGCATCCGTGAGTCAACTTTTTAGGTACTTACAGTTAACAACTATTAAATTACCCCTCGTACATTAAGTATGTTATTTTTTGTTTTTGTAACTCGAGAATGAAAGGCAGACTGGTTGAATACTTCAGATGTAAGCTTGTGAAATTCTCGAGAAAACTAAATCAGGACAAATACAATCTTCATGTATTTATACTTTAAGATAAAGTTGAGTTCTGGTCATGCGATCGCATTGTGAAAGAAACGTTGAGAAATCGATCAAAAAAGGTTGATCATCTTGCATATTTATAAGTATTGGAGTGTACTGAAAGGTTCTGGAATAATCAAAATGATAAGAAATTTGGCCCAGTCTTGGTAATTTACAAGCACTGTACACAGAAAGATATATATGGGACTACATGATCATGTGGCAATAAAAGCTGTCCCGATTTTTATGATGTTACATGCCATATTTAGAATATTAAGGCATTTGAAGAGCCATGCTTTTCAGGGAACATTATTTATCTGATGTTCTTCCGCACACTTGCATAATAATATGATTTATAACGCTGACAAATTATTTTTCACCTCTTCCTAGAACTCATCCTTCTCTTTAACAATTTACAAAACTGGGTAAGAGTATGAACAATTTAGTTGTTAAATATATAAGTTCCAATCCTAAACTACTCTCTCTCAACTTTCAAACTGGTGTACAACTTCATCTACTGTTTTAGCTACATGTAGGTTTTAGCATTAATTGCTTGAATTGTACATATCTCTCTAAATTTAATAATATGAAGAGGAAGTAAATAATCCTATTACCCAAACCCTAAAATGGCCCAAAATCCCAAATGTACTATAGCACATTTGGAATTCAACTATTTTTCTCCATTTTTCTTGGAAAAAAGAAAAAGTTGATTTCTCGTCATGCGATTGCATTGTGAAAGAAATGGAGTGGAATTGATCAAGTAGCATATTGGTGTGTACTATAAGGTTCTGGAGTCATCAAAATGATAAGAAATTTGGCCCAGTCTTGGTGTTAGGTAATAAGCACTGTACACACAAAGATTTATATGGGAATACACAAACATGTGGCAAAAATCGAGCCTTACTTTAAAGCTCAAGTTACAAACTTGTCATAATTAAGGCATTTGAAAAGCCATTCTTTTCAGGGAACATTTTTTCTCTGATATTCCTCTATACTTACATAATAACAATGACAACGCTCACAAATTATTTTCACCTCTCCCCAGAACTCCACCTTCTATTTGGGCTATCTGTGACTTTATTCCGAAGTATAAACTATAATCTCCATGCCTGATGCCTTATTTAGAAAAGAATATAGAAAGTTGGGTGCATTTATCAAAAGGCATTCGTCATGCAATGACCTGCCACAATAACGAAGACGAATATAAAACTGGAGACTTGTAAACGTAAATTCACAAAAAGGAAATAATAAAATACCTCATTTATCAGACAAAAAATGTAGACCTTTGGCAGAGCTTTGTCTGACAGACGCGTCCGCAAAAATAAGGATTGTCTGATCGTGATTCTTATTTCCGATCCGCGCGTTGGTGATGTGAAAAATGGATTCTGTGAGGATTTTCTTGACGCATTTTACATCGACTTTGTACAGAGACTTTCACGTTATAAGCGTTAAATCCTCAGAAAAGACGAACAACCTATAAAAGTAGACAATGAACTGGGGGTATTTTATTACGCGGAATCCGTTTCTCGTATCCCCAGGCGCCAGCGCGCGGATCAGGAACCCAAAACCTGCAGAGCACCGAAGAAAAAAAAACATCCACGTTTTTGCGGTCAATCCTTTATTTTAGGATGCATTTTGTCCATGTTTATGCTGACGTCATTCTCGGACCAGAGCCCCTACTGATGTGTGGTCTACCCGTAAGCTTTTTTTAAAAGCATGCCAAAATTGCCAAGCAAAGCCGATAAAGGCGAATCACGACAAAGTAGGACTAGGACACCAAATTTAAATTGGGCAATTATTGTGTAGACTATAACTTATGAAATCATTTATCCCCTACATCTACTGCCTGCCATACACTGTACTCAGTAATTATTCAGCTCACATGTAGTTGGCTACTGGTACTAAGCCATCAATGACATGTCATTGGAAAAGCCGCGCTGAAGCTGCGAACACATGCACACATGACCTCGCCCTCGGACTTGGCTAGGGGAAGCAACCGACCAAGGACCGCTGAGCTGAGCCCCTGCGAGCTAGCTCTCGTACACACTACACACGTACGACACATCACACAGATTACAGCACCGGTACGGTGTGTGTCAATGGACCATACGTACCGTCAGGATACTCGACGAAAGTAAGGGAGATTGCTTTCCATTTTACAGCATCATATTCATCTTCTGTGGCTTGGCAATGACCCGCCATATTGACGAAGATTGATAGAAATGAGAAAATCCTTCTAAAAGAGGTTTGATGTCGCTATCTGGCAAATTAGAAGTAAAACAACGTCGTCGTCGATCGTTACCGGTCACCACCGCCGTGCATGCACCGTATTCAATTCACAGTTGATCTCGATATCGATCGCGATATGCTAATTAGATGGACTCAACATTTATACCATCACATTTTTTTCTTCACAAGGGGCCAGGGTACAAAATTGTGAAGCAAAGATACTTGCAATATTGCATGGTGTACAAAAAAACCCACTACACTCACATGGTATGAAAAAAAAAATAAACTGAAAACTGCCAGTAGACTATATCATGATTATACATGTACCACTAATTTTCATCCCCCCCCTTTTCTATTCAGGAGAGAGAGGGGGGGGGGGGGGGGGGTGGGGATCGAGGGGGACGGACAGAGGGAAGGAGGTGGTAATAAATACAGAATCAATTAGATTCCCTAAATAGTTGATTCTTTGTAACATTCAGGTAAATCACAATAAAAATAATAGATACTGTGGATATAGTTTTTCTTTCTCGATCTCTCTCTCTCCATCTCAATATCGACCCTTCTTTGATTATTTGTTTCTCTTTTTTGTTGGGTGTGGGGGTGGAGGTGGGAGGGAAGGGACACTTTCCATGGTTAATGTAGTAATGGCATCTACAATTCAACAATAAAATCCACGTTTTTTACTGCTTGATATCTGAACAAGGCACTAGGAGCAAATATATAAATGGATAGAAATTATGATTACCCCGGTAGCAATAATAAAATACATTTAATGTATATCTCAACATCAACAACATATTCAAACATCCAAATGCTCATAAACCACAGGAACTACATATTACATAAAAACACAAGTACTAATACTAATAACTTTGGTTTATTCATGTCTCCATCTGTACACACAACATTTAATGAACTTGTTACTCTTCTCAGGTCTAAAAAGAGATACCAGGGGCATTCTCAAACAAAAGTTAAAAAATTATTACATAAAATACAAGAAGTTTTGAAGTAAAAGTCATGTAATGATAAAGTGGTTTCTTTTTTTTTCTTCTGCAACCTCTACGATTCGGAAAAAGAAAAAAAATCGTTATCGCTTTAATATACACAAACATTTACATCAATATACAGGTAAATATTGCTATCATGAGAAGAACACATATACAACATGATCTGTTACCTAGTCTTTACATGGATCATTTTATAAGTTTTGATTTATGAGAGAAAATCAAAAAAATCATGCAGCAAAAATGCTTTTATGACATTATGTAAAACCAATCTCCTGACATACATCTGTTTCCCTTTGGGCAAAACCCAACTATAACTTGTACACGAATACTATCAGATTATAGTAAACAAACTTTTCACATCAGGTTAGTACATCGTTTGAGTTCAGTATATTGAATATATCTTCTTGCTCGTAAATACAATAATATCCTTCCAGTTTGAACATCTACTTGAGGTAACAATTAGAGAAAGATAGATGAAATACCCCAAAACAGTACCACAATGAGCTAGAGGTGTACACAATATGGAATACAATTACAACAAACAAGGTATTCTTGTAACACATTAACGGTAGCTAATCTTACAGCCGCCTTGTACTAAAATGATCTTGTCTATTTTTGTTCCTGTGGCAACTGAAAACTTTTGTCTAATTAGCAAGGTGAAAAGTAAAATGATGTTCACAATGATTATCAAGCTGACAAAACGTGACTGTTTCCCATTTTTCATACACACTCTGAATACTGTAACATATTGAACAGCACAAATAAGCAATAATCAGTTTGTGAAAGATAGTACTACTTTCTCACTTGTACTGATAATTTTCATTATCACTGGCATAAAAATTTATGTGACACTATACAATAGTAAGATTGTTACAAATAACAGAAATTAAAATTGTTTCCTTCTTTCTTTGCTATAGAACAACTTACAAATCATTCAGTATGTTTTCAAATAAAATTCTAGAGTAAACATAAGATGCTGATGACTAGAGCTCGTTTATGACATTGAAATAAAAACAAGATAAATGCTACTTTGTAAATCACTTTTAGGCACCGGTGAACATAAACATAATTAACTGAACTGCCAACAAATGTCCAATTTTTGCTTCAGGCAGCTGACGTCTCCAACGGTCAATACATGGGTCATTGCTCTGGATATAAACATGAATGCTGAGCAGCATTAAACGTACTCACAATAGACAAATAGAAACAGCAACAAAAGGATGAATGCATGATGAAAGTTACTCATTGACCGACCATGCTTGGTGACCCCGCCCTAATCCAAAGAACGCAGGGGGCGGGGTATTGGGGTCAAACATCTGTCCATGAGGAAGGGGTGGGGGGAGATCAAAGTTAGGTGGAAGTGGAAGACCCGGCATTAGGTTGGGCTGGGGTGGGAAGGGAGGGGGAGCCATGGCTACGCCCCTCCTGTGGTTAGGAGGAGGAGGAGGAGGGAGTTGATTCATTCCCATAGCACCGGTCCTGCTTGGCATCGGAGGCATCGCTCGCATGTTTGGTGGCATGTTTGGTGGCATGTGAGGCTGCATGTGTGGTGGCATGTGTGGCGGCATACTCGGTGGCAGCAGTGGGATAGGTTTAAAGAGATCATCAAACTCTGGGAAAGTCCTCGGCAACCTGTTCTGTCCTGTCCCCGGCATGGGGGGCATACCACCAGGAGTCGGCACGGGAGCTTGATGATTCCCAAACGGATCGACGAACGAACCCAGAGGCTGATGTTGCTGCATCTGCCCATTGACCATGCCATCCGATGATCCATCCCGCTTCGGGCTTGGGACAAACGCCGGTATGTTTGGATTCAAGCCTGTCATGTCCTGGTTATATGGAAGCTGAGGCGGTGGTCCTCGACCAGTCTTCAGTTGCTGTCCTCGCCCGATACCTGCGTTTGTTTTTGGCATGCTTGCTCCGCGACCAATGCCTCTCTGTGGATTGGGCATGCTTCCTGTCGAGCTCCTCAGGAGGGGTGAGATTGCAGCTGTTTGCTTTTGACTTGACCCAGTCCGATCTGAAAGTTGTCTCTGTGGTCCGATATCTCCAACGGTCTGTGACTGGCTGTCCTTGGTATTCTGATCAGGGGAGAAGACACTGCTGGTGTGTCTGGAAGGAGGTGAGCTGAAGACATTGTCTGGAGTTCTTGGAGATATGGAAGATCCAATGGAGGTCTGAGCCAGCTGTGCAGAAATTTCACCTGGTAAAAGAAAAATAATTAGAAATCAATCTGAAACTTCAGAATTTTCATCCTTGGTTTTGTTTCAAATGATTATTTAGATAACAATTGCAATTTATTGAGCTTAAGTTTATGCATTGTCATCAATAAGTTTGTTTTTTTTGTTTTGTTTTAAAGTCTGATTATGTATAATATTTTAGGCATCCCCTGATGCATTTCCTGGAGTCGCACAAAAAGACTTACAGGTTATAGGAATTTCACATTCCTTTTTTTTCTTCCAGGCAAGTTCAAGAGGTGCAGCAGGGGAAGCCAATTTTATTCTTTCATACTTTGTATCCTATGTGCCATTCTATTTTACCTTCAATTGCATGTTTGAAATGCCTAATAAATAATAATAATAATAATAATAATAATAATAATAATAATAATAATAATAATAATAAAAACACCATAAGTTTATAAACAAAGGATTGGGATTTGAGTATATCCTGAAATAATTTCTAAATTCATGCTCTGCTCTGCAGACAGTTCCTTCAGTATTTGATTTCCTGCTTTCTAACTAATGACCCAACACTGTACCTATCCCAAACTCTAAACAATACCATAACCCCAATAACCACCATAACCTTAAATCTTTGATGGACCATATGTCAGATCATCCACAAAGAATTGCCAGAGGAATATTACCTGTAGACCGAGATGCAATTCGTTGATCTATGTCAGTGGATTTCAACCTTTCCAGCTTTTTTTCAATGTCCTTCATCAATCCCTCAATGAAGCTGATTTCATCCACATCCACAGTCCCTGAGTTGCTCATAAGATCCTTGAGAATTCTCTCTCTAATACCAAGACAGAGTATGAAAAAAACAAGAAAAGAATATTTAATAATAATAATACTTATGCTTATATAGCGCTTAATACTTCGGGAATGTCTGAGTTTCTAAGCGCTTTACATTATTACCCCGGTCATCGGATTCTGGCTTGCCCGCAATGTCCTCATTACTCAGCTTTTGTTTTTGCAATTATTCAACTCTAAGACAGAGAGTGACAGCAATGGAATATTGCATAAATTGTTGGATTACATTAATATTTGATATTTACTCTGTAAAAATCTCTTTGATTGGTAAACAGCCCACTATTAATAAAATGCATTCAGACAGGCATATGGTATACAAATTTCCATAATTCAAAGACTCATATGCAAGATGCAAGTATCTAAAATAACTATTGCTTGTTCATTTTCGTATCACGGCTACAACTAATCTAAAAGCCTCTAGATGATCTCTAGACTGTGCTAAGTCAGTGTGCTCTGCTCCAAACTTTTACTCTTTATTATTATGCCCCATCCTTAAATCCTCACTGCACTACTTAAAGCTACTTGCACCCTCTATATAGCAAACAATGCCTAATCTGTGCCTGTTGGTCCCCCATGATCCTCTTTTTCTTATGTTAATTGAGATCTGATTTGATGAGATAACCACCTGTCAGTGACCTTGTAGGGAGGTCTAATTCCCCCTGGCCAAACTAGAGCAGACCGGCTTTAAAGCAGTCATTTGAATATCATTGTCATAGATTCAGAAATCCTACTCGTATCACTAACCTTATACACTCAGAAGTATTAAAACCTTGTTATTATTATCGATACGTTAAAAGGGAGTTACTGTTTGCACTTATATAGATTCAGTAGTACTACTGATCACAAACTTTAAAGCGGGACTGCACTACTTGTAGCTACTTGCCCCTTCTATATAGCAAACAATGCCTAATCGTCACCCGTTGGTCCCCCGTGATCCCTTTTTCTTATGTTGATTGAGAGCCGATTTGATGAGATAACCACCTGTTAGTGACCACGCAGGGAGGTCTAATCCCTCCTAGCCAAACTGGTGCAGATAAGCTTTAAAGTATCAATAACTTTGTATCAGAATGACTGGAATGTTAAGATTTTATCAGAAAAACAACAAATCCTTTGCCATGGTAACCAGGTAGCTCCTGTATAAAAACCTAGGAGAAAGAGAGAGTTGGGTATTCAAAGAGTTAATCATGACACTGACCTTTTAGTTCGGAGTACATCATGCATCTTCTTGAGGTCCGAAGCATCCTGTTCTGCTTCTACACCACCTGACGTCTCGCTGCTCAAACTGTCACGGCTCAGCTCATCATCCTAGAGAAAAGGCAATAAAAGTGTCAAATCATTATTTATTGGTTTATTATAAGAACATATCAAACATAAGTGTTTCATTTACAGCCCCTCTGCACTAGTTTAGCCAGGAGAGATTAGACCTCCCTGCATGGTCACTAGCAGATGGTTATCACATCAAATCAGCTCTCGATTAACATAAGAAAAAGGGCATCATGGGGGAACAACAGGTACCGCTTAGGTATTGTCGGCTGTATAGAGGGCGCAAGTAGCTATAAGTAGTGCAGTGGGGCTTTTAAAAAAGTGCATCAATATCAAATTACAAAATACCATTTGATTAAAAAATAATTCAATCCAAATGACATTGATCCATTTTTCAAGTCTCTAATATGACTGAATCACAAATCTATGGCAACAGTCGGTTCAATTCCTAATTTGATCCTCAACCCAACACAACACCAAGCCTTAATCCTAAAAGGTGAAACTAAAGCTCTGTTGTAACCCTAACCTTATATCTTTGATGACTTAAAGCCTAGAGATACCCTTGAAAGATTAGAGTTCAATAATAGGCAAAATAATCATTATTCATCAGTTATGAACAGATAAGAAAGAGAGAGAGAGTGATAACAGATGAAAAGGAAGGAAAACATTCAGAGACGGGGATAGATATAGAAATTGATATAAGGACATAGTAAATATACAGTTATTCATATAGAGGCCCTATATTTTGCAAAAGATGCTTCAAATTATTTGTTTGATCATGTTTAGATGTATCGCTATTCATGCTCTTTATTCAATTTAAGAATTGGCCCACGTTTGCTAGCCAGTTCACAGGAATGTCTCAATCTCACCTCCAGAGGGGGCATATCATCGGCAAAGGCTTGGATGTGACTAATCAATTCAGGGCTGACCTGACCAGACACCATCAGTAACGGGGCAACACTGTGAGAGAGAGAGAAAAGGAATGTTATCAGAATATGCACTGGCATCGACTTGGAAAAGAAGTTACGTTTTGAGGACAGCGATAGAATAAAAAAGTTAATAACACATACACTTTAGAAATATAATTATTTATTTTTTATGAAAGAAGGGTTGTTTTAAGATTTTTTTTTTTAATCTTAAAACTCAACATTCCTCCTAAATCGACCACATGAAGACATTCCTGATAGATGGATGTGCAGTACTGCAAACACCAGAGACTCTAGTCATGAAAGACATCATGATGGCCATAAATGACACCCATTTTTGCAGCATAAAACTTGTTGCAAATTGCAATATTTCAATGTTATACTTAAAAATCAACTAGTGCCGAGGGTTTCATGCAGAAAATTGGTGTAGTAATCTGTGATATAATAACATAGTGCTCGGTTTGGACCAAGGGCATTCTGACAGCAGTAAGAATTTAAACCACTTTCTAAAAGTGCCCCTATCATTTAAAGAACTCATGAGGTCGATTTTGGAGTAATGTTGAGTTTTAAGACTTAAAACAATAACTTACAACAAAATCAAGTTTTGAAAAAAAGTAAGTTTGAGGTTAACAAGTATCTTACCTAGTTAATAGGAAGAGCTGCAATCTGGATGGTCTGATCTTTGAGAGCGGCACACCTTCCCTGTGAAAACAAAATGTCTATAGTTGATCATGAATGTCCTATTACCAATGAATTAGTGATAAATAACATCCATTGTTACCTATACAAGGCATTTTAGCTTTAAAAAAAAAAATTGTATTTTGCACGCTACTCCGAATACGAGACCGGAGCGGGCAATATTTGCAATATTGCCCGCTCCGGGTTTCCCCCGTAGACCACTGTACTAAATCAGAGGGCATCACTCTGCCATATTCCACTCTTTCTTGTCAGTGCACTTTTATTAAAATATGTGCAGTATTGTGTAAGCGTAAAGTGTATGCGCAGTAACAATTTACGTCACAATTACATTTTCATCTCTGGACAAGAGTAAGGGGAATACATGCATACATGGTGAGTAAAAATCATGCTTGATACCAAAGTTGTATATCATTTGTAAACTAGATGGAATTTTGACTGCGCGCAGTCGAAAATGATGCCTCCGCCATAGAGCAATTTAAACAAGTTTGGAGTTTAAATCTCCAGTGGTTCTTGAGATATCATGATAACAATCTCAATGTATGGAATTTCATAAGTTGACCTCTGTGACCCTTGACCTTTGACCTACGTGCTCCAAAATCTAATCAGATTGTCTTCCTATGGTGATACACACTATCATTAAGTTTGAAGTTTAAATCTCCAGTGGTTCTTGAGATATTATGATATGGTGATACACACTATCATTAAGTTTGAAGTTTAAATCTCCAGTGGTTCTTGAGATATTATGATATGGTGATACATACTATCATTAAGTTTGAAGTGAAAATTCTCCAGTGGTTCTTGAGATATCGCGATAACGATCTCAATGTATGGAATTTCATAAGTTGACCTCTGTGACCCTTGACCTTTGACCTACGTGCTCCAAAATCTAATCAGATTGTCTTCCTATGGTGATACACACTATCATTAAGTTTGAAGTTTAAATCTCCAGTGGTTCTTGAGATATTATGATAACAATCTCAATGTATGGAATTTCATAAGTTGACCTCTGTGACCCTTGACCTTTGACCTACGTGCTCCAAAATCTAATTAGATCGTCTTCCTATGGTGATACATACTATCCTTAAGTTTGAAGTTTTTACATCTCCAGTGGTTCTTGAGATATCATGATAACAATCTCAATGTATGGAATTTCATAAGTTGACCTCTATGACCCTTGACCTTTGACCTACGTGCTCCAAAATGTAATCAGATTGTTTTCCTATAGTGATACACACTATCACTAAGTTTGAAGTTTAAATCTCCAGTGGTTCTTGAGATATCATGATAACAATCTCAATGTATGGAATTTCATAAGTTGACCTCTGTGACCCTTGACCTTTGACATACGTGCTCCAAAATCTAATCAGATAGTCTTCCTATGGTGATACATACTATCCTTAAGTTTGAAGTTTAAATCTCAAATGGTTCTTGAGATATCGCGCTAACAAACTCAATACAAGGAATTTCATAAGTTGACCTCTGTGACCTGTGACCTTTGACCTACGTACTCCAAAATCTAATCAGATCGTCTTCCTATGGTGATAAATACTATTCCCGAGTCTTAAGTTTAAATCTTAAATGGTTCTTGAGATATTGTGATAACGGTCAAACGGGACGGACGTACGGACGTACGGACGGACGTACGGACGTACGGACGGACGTACAGACGTACGGACGTACGGACGGACAACCCGAAAACATGATGCCTCCGGCACCACCTTCGGTGGCGGAGGCATAAAAAATGCCTTGTATAGGTAACAATAATTATATTGACAGGCTTCTTTTGGGGTACATCAGACAGACTCCGGGCAATATGATCTTAGTTTATTCAATATTTCCGATGTTCTCCTCAAGCCCAGTCAATATAATATTAATATTATTAGGTTCACCTCTATCAGGTTTGGAGGTACTGGTGGCAGTCCACTGGACACCCTGTGTCTTCCTTGCTTCATGTTTGGCATAGTGAATGTGTTTGGAGCATCCCTTATGGAGCATATGATATGATTCTCAAGCACTCCAATTGGCACAGGGAATAATTCAAAGAGTGATCTACGGTTAAGGTTATGTTTAATATACTCAAATAAGTATACAGAGTCAATATAGGTTACAAAAAGGCAAATACTGTGTATGCGAAATTTTAGTAAAGTGTAAACTGAAACGGGTGTCTTTCACGGAGCAGAGCAGTTTATGACATGATCAAGGGGGTGTTTCACAAAGATCCTAAGTCGAACTTAACTCTAAGTTGGACTTAAACATTATGGAGAGCCATTTGTAGCCTTAAAATAAATATATTCAAAAGCAAAATTCAACTATTTTAGACTTTTCATAAAGTCCACTTCAAGAACATGAAATCTTTTTGATAACAGAAAATATGAATTATTTGAATCAACATGTTATTAAATAACTTTAACAAAATATTTTCAAAGATGCTAACGGCTTTCCATAATTGTTAAATCCAACTTAAAGATAAGTTCAACTTAGGATCTTTGTGAAACACCCCCAGATCTGTATGGACACCTAGTAATCTCCCACACAATCAGGTCCTTTTTAGAAATAATTATATAGGCCTTTACCTGGCAAAGCTTTCTGCTAGGTCTGTACTCTCCAACTCTTCCACTATGACCTGTCCAAGCTCTCCTGCTTTCAGCTCAATCTAATATATATTAAAGACAAAAATAAGGAAAATTTTTGTTTAAAAAAATCCAGAACATATCTGTTTGATTAAGAACGTTATACAGATTGCGGTCTTTGAAGATAGATATGGAATGTGCATGTGGAGGGGGAATTGTGGCCATATTTTATTTTTTTAAATTTTATTTTAAATAATTTTTTTTTAAATAATTTTGTTTGCTCCCAACCGAGGTTCGATAACCTTTTAGCCAAACATTGATAATACACATTGCATAGTTGAAATAAAACAAAACTCTCAAAGTCTAACACACAAGTTATAAATAAAAAACATTTAAAATATTTGTTTTATTTTTCAAATCTTGGGAGTGTTTCACAAAGACTAAGGTTGACTTTAAAGATGAAGTTGAGTGTGGAATCGATCAGAAAAGGTTGATCATCTAGCATATAAGTATTGGTGTGTACTGCAAGGTTCTGGAATCATTAAAATTATAAGAAATTTGGCCAAGTCTTGCTGTTACATGCCGTATTTAGAATATTAAGGCATTTGAAGAGTCATGCTTTTCAGGGAACATTTGTAATCTGAAGTTCTTCCACACTTGCATAATAACAATATTAACGCTCACAAATTATATGTTCACCTCTTCCCAGAACTCAACCTTCTCTTTAACTATGGCACGCCATTCATGCCGCTGGTTGTTCTCACAATTGGTCTCTCAATTATGATCTTTAGATGATATTTTTTTTCTTCAATAATGAACTATCAATAAAGCTGAATTCTGTAGATGTGTGACCATAATTTGTACGTCCCTTGAGAGAACATTGCCAGTACATGGTGGTAGCAAACAGTGGCATGAATGGCTTGCCATAGTTAAGTCCAACTTAAAATTGATCGTAGTCTTTGTGAAACACTCCCCTGGACAGCTGAAGGATGGTCAAACTAATTCAGCACATGAGTGACAAAGTGATGTGATGAAGAAGAAAAAAATCACTGAAAATGATGAGAAAATTAAGTTAGTTACCATATCAAAGAGGGTGTTCTCATCTTGACCGGTTGGCCAGACGAGAGCTGATACCTCTACGCTGGTGACATACTGACCGCCCTGATCCTTGAAAGATATCAGATGTAGGACTTGACCAGTAACCAGGTCAACCCTGTAGAAAAGTACAAATAGTAGGACAGAAACAATAGACCGGTTTACTGACATATTTGAATTTTATGCATACTTTGTAAACAAAGGTTGTTTTTGACAAGCTGAAAGCTTGCCCGAGAATAGCCCCACATCGTGACAATATATGCAGACTGATTCCAATCAAAAGTATGTTGCAAAAACTTAAGTTTCCTCTATTTTGTTTACTCTTGAGCACTCAACTTGAAATCTAGAATAATCTAATAATTTTGCCTTTCAACTGATGAAATATCATCCCGTAAAACTCTTTATAACTTTCAGCCTGATTGTACTTTTGTAGAAAACTCTTTAAGTCACAGTTGCCAGTATAATACTGAAATTTAAATCTAATGCTTGTGCTCAGAAATAAGTCTACAGACTATGAACCAAAAGGTGCGAGGTTCAAATCCCTGTCATAACACTAACATCTTTTGGCAAGACGTTAATCTACATTTGCCGCACTCCACCCAGGTGAGGTAAATGGGTACCTGGTAGGATCATTTCTTGAAATGCACTGTGCGCTGAAAACGGCTGCCAGAGCTGATAACGGCTGCTAGAGCTAAAGCTAGGGTAATAATTCCCAAAACCTTTTAGAAGTGCAAAGGGACTTTATATCTTAAAGACCGTCAATATTACTGGGCCAGAGGGGATTAGACCACACAGCGAGGTCACTGACAGATGGCTATCTCATTAACTCAGCTCTCAACTAACATAAGAAAAAGAGGATCATGGGGGACCAACACTACAGGCACCGATCGGGGAAGTTTTCTACATAGAGGGAGCAAGTAGCTACAAGTAGGATAGTGGGCTTTAATGTGTTGTGTGCTATACAAGAATGAATTATTTCCGTTAACAAGGGAAACGCTCTCGGCGGTCTCGCCTGCATAACGCAATTCAATATGATAAACCAGAACGTCAATGACGTAGCGCTCATCCGCATCTCACAACAACAAATATCGTAAATTTTATGTGGTACACTTTTGAACTGGTCAAAAAATAGAAATTTGATGCCCTGGAAGGGACATAATTTCATTTCATTTGCATAAAGTACCATAAATAATCAATGGAGCAAAATCTCACAATTCTGTGTAGAAGTTTATTGTTCCAAATTTAGCTCTACCAGATAAGGCAAAATCGGTCAAGAAATGAGGGAAAAGAAGCAATTTTTGTTATTTTTGGAATAAATTTGCATAAATTACCATAATTAATTAATGGAGAACAATTTCAAAATTCTGTGTAGAAGTTTAGTGTACCAAAGTTAGCTCTACGATATAAAGCAAACCAAATCAAAATCGGTCGAGAAATGAAGGAGAAGAAGCCTTTTTTGTGATTTCGAATAAATTTGCATAAATTAGCATAAATAATGAATTTCACGATTCTGTGTAGAAATTTTAAATTCCCTCCTAGCCCTATCATATGAAACAATCAGAATCAAAATCGGTTGAAAAATAACGAAGAAGAAGCATTTTGAAAATCTTAATGTTGATGCCACAACAAAGTCTAAGTTTGTTGACCTTAAATGGCCTTTGACCTTAACTTAGTGACCTGAAATTCTACTCACATGATTGGGGAGACTTGATAACCCTATAGTCCAAGTTTCATTGACTAAGAACTTATACTTTCAAAATTATATCAAAAATTCAAAAACTTAACCTTAGGTTAAGTTTTCGATGATGATGCTACAACATAGTCCAAGTCTGTTGACCTGAAATGACCTTTGACCTTGACTTTGTGATCTGAAATTCTACTCACATGATTGGGGATACTTGATTACCCTATAGTCAAAGTTTAATTGACTAAGAACTTATACTTTAAAAATTATACCAAAAATTCAAAAACTTAACCTTAGGTTAAGTCTTTGATGTTGACGCCGTCGCCGTCGCCGTCGCCGTCGCCGCCGCCGTCACCGGAAAAGCGGCGCCTATGTCTCGCTTTTTGCTACGCAGGCGAGACAAAAACTAGTATCGAGTATACATCAAATGTTAAAGTGATGCGGTAACTTTGTCTTAGAACCTTTAAAAAAATACTTGATTTAGCTCATGCTGCAATGATAATTATAAACCTTTAGGTCAGTCAGGAACCCCATGACTTTTACAAGCCGATCGCATGTCTCATTGTCAACATATTTATGATTGAAAATCAAAATCAAATTTTGCGTTAGCCAAACGGTTTCCTTAAAGGTAAAGACCAGTTATGGTCATGCGATTGCATTGTGAAAGAAACGTTGTGGAATCGATCAGAAAAGGTTGATCATCTAGCATCTAGCATCTGCAAGGTTCTGGAATCATCAAAATGATAAGAAATTTGGCCCATTCTTCGTAAAGTTACAAGCACTATACACAGAAAGATGTATATGGGACTACCCTATATCTCTCACAGACCATGAGAGAAACAAATTTACCAAATATATGAATTAGTAGGCGGTTTCCCGGCAAATTTTTTATCATCATGTATTAGTCAAAACATATTCTTTCACATGATTGGTAATGAGAGCTTCCATTTAATTTTTTGAAATTGGGGCTTTTCCAATACTGGTCTTTACCTTTAACACTACAGTCTATTGGGAAAAACGAGTATGGTAAAACCGGTCACTCAAAGGTTTTTACTTTTTTGAGGCTCTTCTTGATCATTTTGAAGTGCAATTTTTTAGGGCTTCAATATTACACCATATCACAGACACTGATGCATCTCAGATTTAACATTGTTAAAGGATGCCTTTAAGAACACAAGCAATCATGTGTGGGTTCATCTCTCATGGACAGTACAAGGCATACATGTAACTTCATAAAGACAAGTTGCTCACTTTGTAATAGACCATGGCTTCTGGAGGCCATCTTCTTCTTCTTCAATCTCACTAAGCTCTTTGGCCATCTTCTCAATCAGGTCATCCTCTTGGAGTGGTGGTGGACCACTATCAGCTATACGAAAAAAATATGAATAGGAAAACAAATTATTGAATACTACAGAAAGCCTAGCTGGAGTTATTGTTTAACCCCCCAAATATTTTCTTACTTTTTTTTGTCTGCAGAGTGATAAGATATTGTCAAGGATATTCTTTGCCAAGGATTCTGTATGTAGTTTGGAGATCCTCAAATAGTACCCTTTGTTTACAAAACCAACTATTGATGCACTTCTTGGTGAACCTTATGCTCTTATTGATTTTATCAACCCTTTTCCTGAATGCCTCCATATTAACTTTTCTAGCTGAATCGTTGCTTCACAGTTTCTCCATCTGCTTCTTTTTTTTCTACACTTATCAGTTGTCTTCAATCTGATTTAGTCTGGAATTAGTACAGTTGTCAAATTATCAAAATTTAGAAAAAAAATCTTACAGCTGAAGTCTTCGTCCGTGGCACCGACCCGATGTCCATCTCCTGCCTTCATAATGCCACCATTGGTCATCCCCTGACCGCCTGCTGATGACCCTTTCTGTAGTCCCTTGGTGGTCGAAGCATCCCCAGACCCCAAGATATCTTGGACTTCAGCAGACTCCTCAGGCCACTGAAAGGCTAGGGCGGGGTCATCATCAGGAACAGGCAAACCCATGCCGGTCAGCATCTGAAGGCTCACTTCAGCTGGCTAAAATAAAATGGAAACAAAATATGAAAGGCGCGATAGCTCCGTCGATAGAGCAGTGGTCTAGTGCCCTGTGGTAAGACATTAATCCTCACTACCAGGTCCCTCGGAGGGGACCTTAAGCCGTCGGCCGTCTGGTTGCTTACTTACAAGCATTAATGCTTTCTTAGCAGTCAGGTAAAATAACCATCACATCCAAAAATAACGGACAGACGTATATCTGAACAGAAGGACAAAATTATCATCATATGTCACCACCATTGATTGTAATGAATGTGGAAAGTTGCTGGTCAAAGGAGGGAAATGATCCAAACAAAGACAACAAAAGAGACATAGACATGTTAACATAATGAAATTATGTGAGGAAACTTGGTGGACAATTCATATACTAGGTGCAGGAAGATAATTCTTTTAAAACATGGGGGAAATTCAAACCTTTCTCCATTTTGATATCATCAACATGGTGGATAATTCTTTACAAGAGGATTTCCTTGAAAAACAAGGACAATTTTCAAGTCTGTCTCAATTCATTACATATCATTATTATTTTTATTTTTTTATATTTTCAATGAAATATATTTATTCAGGATAACAAGAATCAGATCGTTTTTAAAATGCAATGTATATCTATTTGCAATTCAGTATATGTAACTGCGATGCATGATTCAATAAATACCATATACATTGTAGATACAAAATCTGTTTTACATCATGTCCTGCACAGAATAAAAATGTAGTACACCGAAATATAAATAATAAATATCACCAAAGTTCACAAGCAAAGGTAGAAACAGTATAAGACATAACATTATCCCACTGGACAGCATTTGATTTTGACATAACACTCAATTGTTTACTAGTCTTCTGCTAGAGTTATCGTTGGCTTAGTATTCAAGAGGTAAACTTACAGGTGGGACCAAGGGGGACTCTGCGATGGGTTCGGCTGGTGTTTTCTGCTCAGCAAAGCGAGCCAGGCCCTCTGAGACCAGCAGGTCATTGATGTGGATGTCTTCCGTGGTTGATGTATCGCACAGGATGAGACTCATAACAGAATTCTGGATAGCGAAAGGGCCAGAGTGAGAGAGACAGAGGGGGACAGAGAGAGAGAGAGAGAGAGAGAGAGAGAGAGAGAGAGAGAGAATGAGAGAGAGAGAGGGACAGAGAGAGAGAGAGAGAGAGAGATAGTGTGACAGAAAAGGTACCATTATCATGTGTGTATTGCAGGTAAATATAATACCAAGATTTTACCCTAACACTTGAGGTAACTTACCCGTTAGCAAAACACCGTTTCTTCCATACCATACCAATAGAACCTCATATTAATTCAAACTAGATGGAAAATGATGCCTCCGCCAAAGAGCGATTTTACAAACCAAAACAGAAGGAAAAAAAAAATCAAGTTTGATCCATTATCAAGAAATATACATGTCCCTAGTTTGATAGTAATTCTTTCGTCAGTTCTAATGAAAATGCGTTCACAAGCTATTTTTGCACACATAATGAGCCCCATGACCTTTGACTTCATGACCTTAACATCTAATCAGTTTATTGGCTCTGCAAGATTGGTCAATCAAATCTAATGATGGACGAACGGACGGACAACCCAAAAACATAAAAATATAATAAAATATAATCAATCAAACAAACAATTTCATTTATATCAATGACCTAAATAGAGTTCTCAAGTTCTTGACTCGGTTTAGCCACCACTGTTCCATTTCAAATGTACCATGCGTAAAAAGAACTTAATTCCAATTACATCATAAAATGGTATTTTATGTGCTTGTAAAAAGTCATTTACGCTTGTGATATGAAGAAAGTTAGAGTGCAACAGCCCTTTAAAAGTTGTGAGTATCACCCAAACACAAAAATTACAAGGTAGACGAAAAATATTTGTTAATAGCCATCACATCCCAAGATACAGAGACCACCAGCACCACCAAACGCAAAAAATTTGATTTAGATTTTCAACCATAAGTTTCTTGATAATCAGACAGGCGATCGGCTTGTAAAAGTCATGGGGTTCCTGACTGACCTAAAGGTTTATAATTATCATTGCAGCATGAGCTAAATCAAGGATTTTTTTAAAGGATCTAAGACAAAGTTACCGGATTCCTTTAATAGGGAAGATTGCTGGAAATAGAAGCAGGGGAAGGCAAGAAATGGGCAACCAAAAATAAAATCGGCACTAGCAGGTTTGTAAGAATAGCTGATAATAGACAGAAATGGAAGGCCATAACCACCGATGTCTCTAACAGACATAGCTCTTGATAATTGTGATGATGATGATGGTGGGCTTTAAAGAAGAGATTTTTAGCACACAAGAAATTGTCACAAAATAAGAAGATGATGAACTTTCAATGAAAGTAAGACAAAGAAAAGAAAAGAAAAGAGAGGCACAACCAAATGAATGCTTGTTCAGCCTGGAATAGACTGAAAAACAAACCTCTGAAAATGGATTGGTATCAAATACCCCTTCTGTGGTCTGAAAGAAAAAAGGTGTTTAGGATGGGAAGCATGGATTTTAAATTTATCACTCAGCAAAGAGAGGTTGACCTAAGGAACCAAAATGTAGTAACGATGTATTAATTCTTTCTTTTTATTCTTTCAAAACATTGATTAAGTTAGCAAGGTGAAGTATCATATGAAATAATATAAATTCCAAACATGTAAGGCAGTGAAAACATACTTTATTTAACCCCCTGAATTTACAGCAAGAACCTTCGGAACAGTTCTTACTCGCCTGAACTAGATTTTGATTATATTCATTACAGGTTTCTTAACGGCATCGTTTAACAATGTTAAATCTGAGATGCATGGCCCTACGTGTTTTCAGTGTCTGTGATATGGTGTAATATTCTGAGACAAAGTTACCCAGTACCTTTAGGGGCCAAGTAAATCAGTTAATGCTATTATTCAAATTGGCAACAATTTCATTTACAGCGTAGTCTTTTATTTCTACTTCTTAAAAAAAGATCAAAATGAAGTACTACTACAAAGTACTTATAAATATCAAATTGAACAAGTAAAGAGGATCAGCATTTGTGTTGCCAATTTGGAAGATTAAATGTACCATATTTTGTGAAGATCTTCATTTTGAATGGAGGGCACAGTGACTTACCTTTTCCTCCATAGCATATGCTTGTAGAGCTCTGTCTGCGGTGAGCTCCAGCAATCTGTCTCGACTCTGATCACTCCACTTTTCCTGATAGAAAAAGAAGAACCCATTCATGAGAAATAATTTAAGAATGTTTCTTGGTGTATTCTGCAAGTAAACTCCTTGAAAAAAAAATATCTGCAATTCAAATTCAGTCTCTTGTTACTATATATCATATTCGACTTTGGTATCATTGAATATCATTTTTGTTTAAATTCCCATTTACAATAATGCCCCATTTTTAATTATTATGAAATTATGGAATGTGCAGTACACCTAAATATGGGGCCCAAGTCAAAAGTGAAATGATGGAAAATGCATTGCTATTCCTTTAAATCACAATCCATCCTCCAAACAAATGAATAATTGACTGTTGACAATAACAATGCATTTTGCAACATTTCACTTGTGACTTGGCCCCATATTCAGGTGTACTGCACAGTCAATGATTACATAATCGTTATAAAAGGTGCATCATTGTGAAGGGGAATAAACAGGCTTTTCAAAGATACCAACATAATTATGAAAATATAATAACAAGAGAGATATCAACTATAAAACTTGAATTGCAGAACTTTTTCTGAGGGGTCCTTTCCCATGTACACTTAAATAGAACAATTCAATAGGAATTATAGTCACATCAAAATTAATCTGAGAGAGATTATGATACTAGTCTTGTTACCACGTCATGATCTCATATTCTACACTTCTTAAAGTACTTCTTACCCCAACAGGCTCAATCCCACCAAGTTTGGCATCAATGGCTTGCTTTGGCAGCTTCATGAAACAAGACCTACAGAGAAAAGAGAAGACAAATAATGCTCATTTTTAAATGACAGACATCTCATAACAAAGAACACCCTGCATTTGTATCAAAATGTTAAAGATTTATTTTGGGGGTTGTACTGTAAGCCTCTAGAGGTGGGAATCAAAAGTTTGAAAATTATTTATTTGTTAACGTTAAGAGCAAATAAGTACATGTCCTGTGATAACCTTTGTTTTTAAAAACTTGAGGACACTTACCTCCCCTCCCTCCTCTTCCGGGTAGGAGATAGTAACAAGTCACAAATTGCCTTGAGGACATTTTTCATAAGGAGGTAGCTGTCATTTAAACAGGGATGGTCTGTCACAAATTCTTTTAATAACAAATAAATAAATCAATCAAGAAATGAAGAAAAAAATAAATGAATAAATAAACATAACAAACAAACAAATAAATAAAGAAATGAAATTGTACATCACTTTAATAGCTACTATATTAGAACAGAATAATTACAGGTATTGTATTGGACTCAAACTTACTTCAAGAGACGTAGTGAAGACTTTGGAATTCTGAGAGAAGTGCCATAATCCACATAGTAAACCTACAGAAAAAACAGGGAAAAAAAAAAGAAGAAAAACAGGCATTTACATTTATTAAATACTCAAATGTCAAGACAACTCTGCATTCCTCAGCAAACTTATGGTGTAATACATGTCATTATGCTATTTTCAGTTAAAAATTGAATCATTCACACACCTTGTAAATTTGATGTTTTTCATTACTCAAGAATGAAAGGTACACAGGTTGAATTAGTGATTTGCTAAATACTTTTAGATGAAGCTTTAATATGCAACAATCTCAAGAAACATAAATTGGGGCAACTCAATTTAGCATATACTGTGAAAATGACAAACTTTGTAAGAGTATGAATAATTCAGTGTTAACTGTATACCATTTTTGGATGAAGAGAATTTGGAATATTATACATCTATAAGAATTCAACAAAGGCCCTAATTCAACTAGGCCACCTTTAATTATTGAGTTACAAAAAAACACCAAAAGAACATCAAATTTACGAAGGGTAAAAATAATTTAGTTGTTAACTGTATATCTTTCTGTGAACAGTGACTTATGCTTTTTTCTGTCATCATTACAATTACTCACGGTCATATCAAGGGATTATTCATTTATAGAAGACATCAAACGACATAAGCCATATGGAAGACGTTGGGTAAAATTCACCCCTTGACGGTTAAGGCCACCATTTTAATTTGCGAGTTAACATTGTGTCATCAATGTTTTCAGTCGCGCATGTATTGTTCCATCACTGCCTGCGCTGCGCGCTCACATCATATCGACACATGCGCTCTGCATGCTGCATGAAATAAAAGTTACTTGCAATATTTACTCGCAATTTAAAATGGCGCCCATGTCGGCGCACGTGCAGTCTTGTAACCATGAAAGGGTGTATTGCCAAGAAGCCTGAAAACTGGCATTCCTGAACTACTGACCTCTACAAAATCTAGGTTAGGAACACCTGTAATGAGGCCCCTATGCCAGTTGTTGTCTTCATGGTAGAGGGAACAGCAGATCTGATTGACAGCTATCATAGCATCAGGCATTAGATACTTCTCTCCTTCAGCGAAGAAGTACACAGATCTGGACAAAAAGTCAAAAATGAAGACAAAAAGTAATGAAAATATGATCAAACAAAAGATAAAAGCATTTCAACAAAGCTTTGATTGACATCTCATGAATAAAATGAGACAAAATGTCTATTTTCAAGTATGAATGCCTTGATATCTAAAGGTGTGGTTCGCTTATAGAACAAAGGAACTCTATACAACAGTACAAAATACGGAACTATGAAGGCAACAGTCATGAATTTAGTAACTACAATTTCAGATCACAAGCAAAATTATTGAGAAAAAAAACAACGCAAATACGACTGTGTCTCCAATATGCCTCCGCCTAAATTCAGTTAAGATCATGGCTTGAAAATATTCTTGGAATACCAAGTGAACTTGAGATATCGTGATAATGAGACTAATACCTGTCATTTTCACAAATTGATCTTTATGATTTAGATTGTTCTCCTTATCCTTGAATTGGACACCGATCTTCTGGTGAGAGTAACTTTGTAATCTATACAGGGTTCTAGACCCTAAAATCTTTATTAAGAAGAGAAATTCTGTATAAACTTACTCTAGAGCATCCATCAGGTTTTCCAATGCGAGATTGTTATCCTTATCCTTGAGTTGCACACTGATCTTATGAGGAGAGTAGACCGTTGAGACGTAGACAGGGAAGTACTCGTTGAGTTTAGGCTTCTTGATAGTAGGGTAGGAGTAGCCGTATCCCATCGCATCTTGAGGTATTGACTTGGCAATAGTCTGAAATTGAGAGCAAAAAGCGGAATAACAATTAAAGACATGCAATATATTTAATTTCAATTCCAATCACAATTATAATTCAATTTCGTTTTTGAATTTGAATTTCACTTTATTCCAAAATTGCAAAACATTGTGTAATAACTGTATGAAATTGCATACATAATCTATAATCACAATTTTTAAAATATAATCCCCCTTGTGTAATAACTGTATGAAATTGCATACATAATCTATAATCACAATTTTTAAAATATAATCCCCCTTCAGTGATATCATTTATTATTAAGTAGTATAAAACGGTTCATTACAAAATCTCAGATTTAATTATTCTTTCTTATTTTACAGGCTTTCAAACATTAAGGCCCGAATTCACAAAGCAAGGTTTGAGCTCAGACCAAGGTTTGACCTCAAACCTCCTTTTGTTTTGCCAAACCTCCTTTTGTTATTTACAAACCTGGTTTGTAAATAACAAAGGGAGGTTTGGCGAAACAAAAGGAGGTTTGAGCTCAAACCTTGGTCTGAGCTCAAACCTTGCTTTGTGAATTCGGGCCAAAATGTGTGGACTATCTGATATTATAAGATGATGACGTGGATCCTAATCAAATTATTGATAGAGAGCGTACACGTGACCAGGTATTTAGTTTGCCTAACACGTGCTTTTACTAATGACCGGTCATCATCAAAATCATGTTATAAAACATCATTTTATCAAACAAATAAAACAAATAATACACATCATTTTGTTCAGGCATTAGTAAAAATTAATTCTTACTAATGCCCTCACTGCTGTGTATTATTTGTATACTAGTTCTACTTACACTGTAGAGTGATCCACTGCAGAGAGGTAACCTCTGATCTTGTGCATGGAGATATACTTGATCTGAATAGAAACCACAAAAAAGAGAAATCAAATAGAGCACAACACAGCTGGATCACCTCCAAACCCTGATCAGAACATTTCATTTCTCAATATAGCATCTGGCTGGTATTATCAATCCTGGTCAATTGCAGTTGGAGACTACCTTAAATCCAGAAAATCTGTGCCATGAAACCTTTGCAAATCACTCACAATAGGCATTTTTTCTTAAAGAAACTTTTATGAATCACAGAAACTTAAAGTTGATTCAATCATTCTGCAGGGCTAGGAAGTTGTGAAGTTGGACTATCTGTAAAATTTGCAAATTAATCAATACAAAAATTACGGGTAAAATAAAAGACATGCATGTTCTTAATATGGTCTGATAATTTCAGTGTTCCTTAGAATGCCATGATGAAATAGAGTAATACTCAATAATATACAGTCAAACCGGTCTATAGCAACCACCCAAGGGAAACACAAAAAGTGGTCTTAGTAGACAGATTCCTTTAGTACATGTTTCAATGAGAATCCATTTTCAAGGAAACAAAAAGTGTGGTCTTTGTAGACAGGTTTTACTGTATTACTTAAATTAATTAAGAAAGGAAAGGTGTGTTCTTACTATGTCCCTTATAGACGACCTTGATCGTGTCTGGGATGGCAAGAACTAATGAGTTGACATCGCTCACTCCAAAATCTTCAACCGGAAGAGTTGTCTTGTGGAATTTCTGAAAGTAAATAGGCACGACAGAAACAACGTAAGATTATTTGGTAACCACAGGGTATCTCTGGTACAATTAATTCTACTAAATTCAACATGAATACTTAAGTACTTAAGCAGGAGGCTTCATGGAACAACAAATGTACAATCAATATTTTCCAGAACTAGCAAGAGGTAAACATTGGTGGGGGGGGGGGGGGGGGGGAGATCTTTGCCTACTGGAGAAAAAAAAATGACAGAAAACGCCAACTAGGGTCAAGGCACATTGAGGAGATATCCTCTGACAACAACTTCTCCCAGCTTCATTTCTTTAAAAAATAGGGTAAGGGTTAGGGTTAGGGTTGCAATTTGGTTTATAATAGGTTTTTAGGATAGATTTAGATAAAGTGTTTGTGTCCAGTGTTGATTTATGAGTTTGACTCGTGCAGGCAATTGAAACACAGAACAATTGTTAAGGAGCATGTCAAAGATAACCATTTGGGACTAATTTCTTTAATTCATCTGTGGCTGTGTACCAACCTCGTATGCAGAGGATAGCTCCTGGAGTAGCACCCCTGTAGGATGGGCCAAGAGGACGTCTCGGATGTTGGTCTTGGCATCTTGGAGTCTTCTGCTGTCTGGCTCCTTGGGTGGCGAGACCTGCGGCTTCTTCTTCTCTGGTTCTATGAGAGAGAGAGAGAAAGAGAGGGGGAGGGGGGAGGGGAGAGAGAGAGAGAGAGGGGTGGGGGAGGAGAGAGGGGAGAGAAAGAGAGCAAGGGAGATAGAATGAGAGAATAATAGAGAGGGGCAGAGAGAAAGAGAGATAGAGAGGGAGAGAGAGAGAAAGGGAGAGAAAGAGGGGGCGAGGGGAAAGAGGGGGAGAGAAAGAGAGAGAATGAGAGAGAGCGAGAAGGAGATGTCATCAATCTTCAAGATATTTTTCTTCATCTCTTCATCAGGAGCTCTTTCAAATTTATCTGATATCAAAGAGTATCCACTATCCAGTCGCTGTTCTTCTTTGGATTGTTTACTGCAACCATCACTATTTTACCACTTTCCATCTTTTATTTCACCTTCATCGTCTGCATTTTACTATAGTTTCTCCTTCCTCCTATCACTTTACCACAATCGTTTCTAATCAAATCTTCTACTCACCAGGTGACTTAAAAGGTACAAATGTCCTAGCATCGAGGAGAATTCAGTCACTGTTCTTCATTAGATTGTGTTACTACAATCATCAGTATTTAATCACTTTTCATCGTATATTTCACCACTATCGTCTGCATTTACCATTGTTTCTCCTACTTTACCATGATTGTCAGTATCAAGTTTCTAATCGAATCTTCCACTTACCAGGTGGCTTAGAAGATACAAATGTCCTGGCATCGAACAGGATCCAGTCGCTGTTCTTCTTCTGTCTCTCGATAGCTACGATCTCAGGGATGGATGACACCAGCTCCACTACACTGTAGAATCCAATGGATACCAGGGGTAGCTCTTTCTTGGTCAAAGCCTTGGGAATTGAAAAAGGTTGGACAGAGATGGAATGAAGTACATATTACAACATGACTAGTGCTCATTCTACAAAGTTAGGAAGAGAGATTTGTGGTCCTGCATTGATGAAGGAAAATTTTATAATATGCAAGTACATGCACTTTAAAGTTTTGAAAGTTCATAAATATATGTTCACTAATGTAAAACATGGGAAATGTAAGGAGGAACAGTTCCGTTCAGATCAGTGTTTATTTTCACACTCAATAAAAACATACATAAACATATAAAACAAAGCATCATCAATAGAAAACAATACAGAGCAATTAGACAAAACAACTTATGAGAATGAGGTGTTAGCAAAAAAGAGCAAACAGCCTTATGGGGGAGAGGGAACAGGGAGAGGGAACAGGGAGAGGGGAGAGGCGGAGAGGGGGAGAGAGTGAGAAAGGGAGAGAGGGAGAGGGGGAGAGTACTATTTATTTTGATGGGTTTTTTTTTACCTTGTATTCTGTAGGCAGACTGGCAGCAAAGAGTCCATTAGGGTGATGTTCCAAGACCTGTGGAATAGAAGTGAAAGAAACATAATCATAAATCTATTTAAAAAAATCAACCTAACAAAAAATAATGATCAGATAAGGCAAAAAACTTAATTGTCAGATCTGGCATGTTCACTTGTCTAATAAATGACACGTTATGTTTATAGAAAAGGCAGAACCAGAAGGTTGACATAGTAATCCATGATTCTATTTTTTAAGGAAAATCCTGACCTATTAGTGTCATTGTCTGTATTCAAACGGGCCTTTTCTTTGTTTGTCTCAATTATTTAACTCTTGTTTATGTGCCCATTGCCGACATAATTACATAAGCAGATAATAGTAGTCAGCTCTACATAAACTTTCTTTTCCACTGTCCTGAATAAAATATTGGAGGTGTATATCAGTTTTGACTATTGGGGTAAGACTCCTCGATTTGTCAATAGCCTACCTCTCTGATTTCACTGCAGAGTTGTTTATCAATGAGCTCATTGCCTGGTGGGGATGGCTGTCTTGGGCTTGTGACTGACCCTGTAGATCCAACCCTTGACTTGGATTCGTCTGATCGGTTCGATGAAATTCTACGAGCTCTGCCGATGCTTTTCTGTGGGGCTTCGAATGGCATGGACTTTCTAGCTGTTAGGATTCAAAACATAAGTACAAGAATTGAAATGAGAGGAGTTGGAATGAAGGATTGGTTGATTGAAGGATTTTTAAACTACAGAACATGTACATGTGCATGTATTATGTATATGCACTACCAATACCATTTATAACCTAATTCTTTATCATGTGAATTTATCTAGCTGAAGACATCCACTATCCAGTGTATCCACAATACACATAACAGGAAAAGAATTGAAAAGATAAAAGTGAGCGAATTGAAAATGAATAATCAATTGATTGTGAACAGGATTGAATAATTGCTATCAAAAGTGAAGTACATCGTACATTGAAGACAGTCTCTGAAAAGGACCGACTGGCACCAGTATAGAGTAACTTTGTCTACAAAGAATATCAGCAAAAGCCAGCATCTCCAATTCTCCATTAAAAAGACAAATAAAAATTATCATCAATTATCAATAGCTGATTGAAACAATCACCGAAGATGAATCTGCTCATACCACATTGACAACATACTGGAACTTTGGAAGACGTCCACCCCAACCCCCTCCCTCATATTAACAAAACATATTTCTTCAGACTATTTAAGAATCAAAGACACAATTTCTCCCATCAAATATAAAGGATAAGATCACAAAATCTAAATAAATGTTTTTTTTCCATGAACAGCTAAACTTGCATGATCAGTGCACTTTTTCCAATGGCCATGTTCCTTAAACTTTGAAGAGAAAAAGAGAATGAAATGTTTTCAGTTTAATGGGCTACCTTGGTGGAACTGGAAGCACTCTTGCCTAATAAAACAGTTGCAATTAAATGCATTTAACTCCACAAACTCTACATGACTTTCAATAAATCAAAAAAACAAATCAAGACAAAATTTGCTGTTGAATTTTATAATTGTGTTTAAAATGTCATACTTTTATTCACCATATTTTCCTTCCTCCCATTTTTGCTTTTTTATTTTTGTATGTTATGAAATTAACTGTCACAATTCTCTATTTTTAAAGATTCAAATTACCATCTGGTATTGGACGGCTAATCAATGGTGGTGGTATTGGCCGGCTCTTCGATGGTGGCTTTGAAATGTCTTGCGAAGCTTTTTCATTCCTGTGATCTTGTGATCCTAGACCTAGAGCAGACATCAAGGGTTTTGGCTTGGCCATGGATGAATTGTCACTTGGTCCTTTATTGGGAAAGTTCTCTCTACTATAAATTCTGAACTTCTCTTCACTGATTCTTTCAATACTGATAACTGCAGACAAAGATCTCACAAGATCCTCTAAACCTGTGTACCCAAGCTGAGCATAGTCGATGGGAAATCCGCATTTTCGGCTGAAGATGGAGTCAAAATGTGTGTTGAGGATGCCGTTCGGGTGGGAATTTAGGAGAGATTTCAGCTGCATGCGGAGATAAGCTGGGCTTGATTTCGGGGCAGCAGGTGCCGGTGCCTGGGAACGACCGCCACCTGTTCCTGGGTATGAATTTGTTCTCCTCCCTTGCCCGAAAGGGTCGTAACCTTGAGGTCCTTGTGGAGGTTTTGAATACGGAGGCTGATATCTGCTTGATGATGTACTGAACGAACGCCCGCGTCCTGACGAATAGCCCCCTCTCCCTGACGAATAGCCCCCTCTCCCTGACGAATAGCCACCTCTCCCAGATCGAACAACTTGTCTTTCCAACGCATTTCTTCGTTTTAAACACTTCCGCACGTCCACATTTTGTTTGGAGACCAAGCTTTTGATGTGTTTGGTTGTTTTATCCGCAATTCCATGAAATACTGCATGTCCCCTTTCCCACTGACAGCTAGCAACATCTTTCAAATCTTCCACCAGATCTGACGTGCTGTTATACCCCAGCTCACGGAAAGGCACGCCGTAACCCTGGGCCTCGCGATAGTCTCGCTCGATCTCGACAGCCGTCAATCCCATCGGCGCGGAGAGAAGCAAAGCCCTCAAAACTATCTTCATCTCCTGCTTGATTTTGGCCTTGTCTGTCATGATGCTTTACTAGAAGTAACGGCCGTGAATGAATGTCATTAAATCAGGCATAAAATGCCTTGTCATAACTTTTAAGAGTTATTTACTGGTAAAATTTATCTCTCGGTAGTCTTCTTCTCACCGCTCATCAGAATATCAGCATGGTCAAAATATGTCAGGTAAAGTGTAAATAGCACATGCGCGCGCTCCGTTAATTTTTGTGTACAAAATAATGGAGTTCATTGACCTTTATTGCAGGGTCCTAGAACTGTGGCATGGGTTGGGGGGAGGGGGGGAGGGGGGGGGGGGGGGGGGGGAGGTGGACGGCATTTATAATTCCAGAATTAAGTGCCCATTCCATGTGCCTCGATCTACCCAATCTACGAAAAGTCTCTTCTCTTTATAGTAGATCTGCATGTAGGCTTAACCAGCATTGTAAGTCGAGACTAAACGGGAGCATGGAGTTATAGCCTTACATCTGCATATAAGGTGGTATACTGGACAGGACCAATTGGTATATACGTCCAGATTTCCGTGGTATATCGCAAACTGTCAACAAACATCACAACTGAGGGTGCAGAGTTTGAAAATAAAAATAAAAAGGTGCTCATAAAAATACAGTGGGTTGCATGCAGACATCTAATTTTTAGATGAAGTAGAGCCACATCGACGCTCTCGCCCGCCTGTGTACAGCTGCGCTGAGCAGACTCGGATCCAGGATTTCTTAGAGGAGGGGGCCCAACTTTTTTTCTTTTTTTTTTTTGCTCACGAAAATTTGAAAATCGTGCCGGCCAAAAAGTCGCTCAGTGGGGTGGGGGGGGGGGGGGGGGGGGGGGGGGGGGGAGGGGGTAGTGAGCACTATTTTTTTTTTCTCTCACGAAAATTTGAAAAGCGTGCCGGCTGAAAAGTCGCTCAGTGGGGGGGGGGGGGGGGGGGGATAGTGAGCACATTTTTTTTTTTGGTTGTCGAAAATTTAAAAAATTGGCACCTCCCCAAAAAGGTAAAAATCATGTGTTTTTACATTTTTTTTTTTCTCAAGGGGGAGGAGGCCCCCTTCTGGATCCGCCACTGGCGCTGAGTGCTTATAGGTCTATATGGGGAACAATTTAAGCCAGCTAGTTATTTAAAGCAGCCTAAAACCCATCTTCGAAAATGACATTTGCTAGACACAATGTAATGGGGCAGGTACGAGGGCCCTGAAAATGGACCCAGAAATTGAAGTGAAAGTGTAAAAACAGTAACAGGTTGAAACCCCAGAGAGAACAATTAAGCCCTAAATTAAGCATGAAAAATATCAGTTCTATAGAGAGGGCTGGCATGGGGTTCCATTTTTTATTCAAGTGCCCCCTCCCTATTTTACCCGATTATAAATGAATTCAAGCGAGGAAAAAAATGCAAGATCCCCCAAGAGCACAGCCTGCCACTATTCTTCTAGTACCTGCATAACTCTCTTTACCACTGCCAAACATGTTGATGGAGGATGCCCACCGGATGAATCCCTTAACTCTCAATTTTTCATCTTCTTCCTCTTGTACCTACATCCATTTTGTCTCTAGCTTTCTACCCTTCATTACTGCTCACCTCCCCCCCCCCCCTCCCCTCTGTGAGCTCTACCTGATCCCCCCCCCCCCCCCCCACTCACTCCCTCCCTCTCTCTATATCTCTTTTTTCTTTCTTCTCTCTTCATCTCCATCGCTCTCTCTCTCTCATTCTCTCTATATCTCTTTCTTCTTTCTCTTCATCTCCATCTCTCTCTCTCATTCTCTCTATATCTCTTTGTTCTTTCTTCTCTCTCTTCATCTCAGTCACACTCTCATGAAAACCTAGTACAATGCAAAAAACATATATTTTGAAGGATCTTAATATAGTCTCATTTATTAAACCAATGTCACAAATCCACACTATAAATAACCTTCCAAATCTTAGAGATATTTCAATAAATTTAAGAAAACTAATTTGTTTCATATTCAACAATGAATCAGTGAAATTGAATACCCTGAAGAGAAAAAAATTAAAGGAATGATTTTGAATAAGTCTTGAATATGTCCAAACCATGACAAATATGTAGAATGTGTAATTACTCCCCCCCCCCCCCCCCATCCTCCTCTGTGACTGTTCACACACAAAATAACTGACACAGTATAGAGTACAGCTTCAGATGCAGATATCCTGATATGATTCATGAAAACAAAATATTTCCAAATAAAATCCTTCAAAGTAAATCACTACAAAAGACTACAAAATGAGCAGATACTTTTTCATAAAACAAACATGGCTTAAATTATGGTGTCGTTATGATTGTGTATACGGTATATGTAAATTTACATAAATTCAGTCATGAAAATTCTTGCACACTTGTTTGAATATGGACAAAAATATTTTACTGTTGAATCTAAAGATTAATAAAATAAACAAAACTATTGTGACTTCAAGAAAGAGTTCACAGACATCAGTGTACACGTAAGTGTTATCATCTCTTACACCTTCTGATTTTTGCTTATAGCAGAGTTCAGTTAGGACACAAGCACAAATGTATCAGGCTTTGCCCTCTCCCCTATACTATCAAAACACATATACAAACAACCTTACCGTAAGTAACCTGAATGTTTCAAGGAAATTGCCCTTTTTTATAACAATAACAATTTCACTGTACTTGAAAAAATGAAGAAAAAATTCACTTGCCATTTCTGTAAATTTAAATATTCAGCCAAAGTGTGCTGTGAAAAAACACAAGGCAGTGATTTGTTGTATACCTGTATATAATTTTAATATTGATCTAACAGGTCTGGCAATATATTTAATGTATTCTGCAATGCTATTCGAATATTGGTTACTAATGAACTGGATCACTTGGTTAACTATTACTCCTGTAGTATGCCACATGCTATACGGAAGTAAGAAAGAAAGAAATATTAAAAAATTACCGGTACTCTATTCTCTATACATGTATCACTTCGAGTAAGAATATGATACAAATCTTATTGCATGGACTTCATTTCAGAAGAATGTTTAGATACTCGTTTATAATGACCTTGTTCATAAATGCAGCATAAATATGTTGTTTGGAACATTTCTACTTCTTTGTTAACCTTTCAGGAAACACAATGCCTTTACCATTCAAATGGGCATTGTTAGAGGTTGGTTTCACCTAGCAACTAAGTAGAATGCAGACATGACAATGACCTACATGTAGGACATTTATATACAAACTTCTTTTTATTTTAATTCTTTTCTAAAAGCTTGTATACTATTAAGTTTTCCAGAAAGAAAGAAAACAAACTAATGAATATTAAATAATGAGAATCTATACAAAGCCAGTTGGGAGTCTGCACGACTAGGGGTGTTGGGGATATAGAGAGGATAAAGAAAGATAAAATCCTGATAAATCCCATTTGTCCTGAAGAAATTGGAATGCTTTGATTTAAAACACTGTTAAGAAAGTGAACTTAGTGAAGTGTCCAATATTGATAACTAATACAAGAAATGAATTGAAAATGAAACATTCTAAATATGGACTTGGTTATGAAAGCAATCACCATCCACCTTACATTTGGATTACACTTGACATAGCATAAATGAAAAAAAACCATCACTGTCCAACAATATAAATGTTTGCTATGTCCCACCACACAAAGGATAAATAATACCTTTTTGTATTTGTATGCAGCCATTTTGATATGCATTAAATTCAGCTGAAACAGATTAAGAAATAGAAAGTTAGTTTGTAAAAAATGAAAGCATTTTTTCTGGTTAGTGACATCTAAAGTTTATACACCTGCGGGAAAAATAATTTATGTGTCTCACACATTGATGACTTTGTACAAAAGGGTACTTATCACTAATTACATAATCATGTGCATATTTGATATTTGAATATAACTGGATAGATTGGAACATAAGAAAAAATATTAATGTCTCAATCCTAAACTCTTATAGATCTAGCTGTACATACACAGAAACAAAACAAATCGTGTCATGACAGGTACAGTATTTTCAGCATCACCACACTACAACATTTACAACATAAAACTATGATCCAGATTTCCAACAAATTTCATACTCCTTACAAATGTATAAATCAATATATAGTTGCCTTTACAAGTAGAAGGTAATATATATATAATCTGTTTCAACAAAAGTTTCTAGCACATATTAAAATTAACCAAAGATTTGACTTTTGACTTAGATACTTTGGTCTTAATTCATCTGCTATTGAAACTAAATACACATAAAACATAATATGAACAATCTCTTTGTTTGAATATACTTCAGAGAATCTGTTTCAGGGTTTTTTTACCTTCAAAGTTTTTAACATCGTTTGTCATCAGCGTAAGCTAAAGAACTTTTTACTTCAAGAACTTAAAGATGTCAATAATTCATGTTAATACTTTAAAGGAATATATATGCATGTAAAATAGTAATAAGGAGCCGCCCTACTTGATCAAATAGTGTTTCAATACTACTTAAATACAAACAAATTAATTGAAAATTCAAATACATGCATGTGTACACAAATACAAATTATGTCCAAAGTCCAAACCATTAATACCAGTTACTGAAAACATACACAGAATTAATCTCTGTACAAGTATTGCACAATCAAGAATGTAAACCACATTATAACATGTAGTTAATCCAATCAGCTTGGTTACAGGTATTATTCTTTATAATGAGCACAGCAGACCAAAGAAAGCATGAAGCAGTTTCTCCTTGAGTATGTTACTTCAATTTCATGTAACTAATGTAACTAACCCCTAAACCCAACATGCTATCAAAATCAAATCAAGCTACAAAGTTATAATCAATTTTAACTAAGAAGATAATATGGAGATATACAAATTACCCAAACTACAATAAATAAATCTCCATTGGTTACCAGTACGCCACAGAATAACATTCAAAATCTTGCCAATTATATACATAAAGCACTTCTTGGTCAAGATCCCACCAAAAAAGGGATCTGCCAAAATAAAGTTTTTAAACAGCTTAGAAAGGAAGTCCAAAATTTAGATTTGGATTAACATCACAGAAGTACACATGAATCTGGCAAGATGCGGCAAATATTATTGATAATTTGATATGATGTGAAATATTGGACTATCAAATAAAGCCTGCAATGCAAATTAGCAAGCATTTTATAACTGTTTAATCTCACATTGAAAAAGAATATTTC